ATATATCACCCAATTCTAAGGCAACTTGAAAACTAAAAAAAAGAGAAAAGGTCACAAAGCAAGAGAAAAAACTCATAACAACAGCCAATCAACCACAATCATATCTTTTCTTTACATCTACCAACAATTGTCTTGGTCAATGAAAAGTAGATTAAAAAAGATGTATTATGTAATTCAAGTCAACATTTTAGATAATGCCAACTACTTTAAGATCTCTCTTCTCTCCTTTCCATCAACTCTTTCCACAATCTTCTAGAATGGTCAAGAATGAATGAATGGAGTTTTGCATGTAAAAAGAAATGTCAAGCCATCCCTCTATTAGCTTGATTCTTTTCAAACATTTTAACAACTCACAAAAAAATAAATGATAATTGAAGGAAAATATAAGACCCATTCCAAATTATTTTTTTGTTATTGTTGTGACTAGTGATAATCTGTGAACTTGCTGAAATATTTGTGGGGTATCAGCAAAGTAGTCATTTAAATTGTTGAGATATATTTAGTGTGTTGACAACATAGTCACTTTGGACATTAAAGCACATGCAGTGTACATGAAATGAGTGAGATCTAAGATTGGTGGTTTCTAGGATTCAAGGAGATGTCATAAACTTGTAGAACTTGGTGAATTCAACATTAGAATCATGTGTCCACAAATTATTCCCAAATCATTAAGTGACCGACATAAAGAACTAAGTATTTTTTCTTAGTCACAAGTTGTGATTTGATTGCCTTGAAACCTATGGTCAAAAATTGAGTACAAATCTTTCAGCCAATTAAATCATTATTGACTTTGTAACTCATCTTGAAAATCTTTGTGCAACACAAAATAGAAACATTTTCAAGTATGGTCAGGGGTTTGAAGATGAATAGAAATAGAGTCTCAACTTCCGCATAGACTCTCCTCCACAATGAGATTTCTGAAAATTGCATGATATCTTATAGATAAATCTTGACCTTGTAAAAACTATAAGCTTTTAATGATTATACAGGATACACTATGAAATGATATATTATTTTCCTTGAAATATCTTTAATTGATGATAAATTTGGATTAAAATGGAATCCCTAAGGCTATAGTATGAAATGATTACTTCTATCACATGAAAGTCATTTTCAACATTGATAGTGTGATTTGTACTAGCTTGAGATAAGATTTTTGTGCTCAAAGGTTTACCTAGGGCCATTGCTTTAAATGGCACTTCTCAATCCAACTACATGATGGTCAACTAAGTAGTGGCAATATTAATGTTTTGAATTTTTCTTAGTCAAGTGAGTTATAATACAAAAGTTATTTTATAGGTTTGACATCATAAGAAGATATTTTTAAATTAATAAAATACATAAAGTAATTATTGACATATATTTTCTTAAACAATGAACATATCTTTTCTATTTTATTACATGCTACTTTATAGAAACAAGGTCTCACCATTCCTTGAAATAAGATGGGAGCATAGATCTTACCATCATACTTTGAAGAATCACAATACATGTGTATGAAATCATGTTTGTGCTATCATATATTCTTGATGATGGCACATAAGATGTGCCATAACCAACTTTTTCTAGTGAATCACTTCTATGAAAAAAATCTGAATTCCTCTTATAATAATTTTTAGCTTATCCTTGATATTTAATTGCTTTTTACTCACAAAAGACTACATGAATTTATAAATTTCTGAATAAAAAGTAAAAATGTGGTATGCTAATATGTACCAGTCATCAACACACGTTTCAGGCATTTGAGGACCTTATGAAATAGTATGGGTTAAGACCATATTGAGAGGTTCTCTAAAACGAAAATGAATAAAAGGCCTAGACCTCATCATCAAATTTCTAAGTCCAATTGTTGGCTATCATAATGCTCAACATTAGCTACAGTCAAGTTAAAGCATTTTTAAGTGACAAGAGGAAAATAGTTATATAATTGTGCTTTTAGGGAAGACAAGTATTAGCACATATGTTTTTCCTTTTGTTGTAAAGGTTCAATCATGTGCACATTGTCAAAAATTCAATCTGCATGTGAAACATAATATTATTTATTCTCTTACAAAATTGGGTTGAGAACTATGGAATTGTGGTTTTTCTTGGTATAGAGATTCTACCTTTATGACAAGCTGTATCTTCCTAAGAATGTAAAGAAACATTATCCATATGAAGTGATTTATAGTAGAGGAAATCAAACCATTAGTTGACATTTTAACATCTCTTACACCCCCTCAGCTTGAAACTTTATAATATGAAATAATATAAACTCAAGATACAATTCATGAGATGTCTTGCATCAAAATACCACTATATGATACGAACAACATTGTGTCCTCCAAATTCTTGAGTATGGCTCAACTTATGTGTCATCTTCTAGTATGCTCTATAAAGACTTATTAATTTAATTTTTATTTTTCTCTTTCAATTTAGACTCTAAATTGGGCATCAATCTTATCCAAAGAGTTGATTAAGATCATTAACTCAAATTGAGCTTACTCACTTGTTCTTTGGAATCTCAAGATCCCCATTGACTTAAAAGAAGATGTTTGACCGTGAGATGACAATTTACACTTTTTGTTTCATAGTGACATTTCCAACTTGAAAGGAGATACAAGCTCCATTATATCCATTCTTATTATGGTCAATATGTTGGCAGATTTACACATGAAAGTCAACATTTCAAATCATTTTAATTTGATAGGTAATGACGTCAAATATGGTCCTCCATATTCCATCTTGGTTATGCTAGGCCTAGGCTCAAGTGTGAAGATTGAATTTTCATTTTGCATCTATTTGGGTTTCATCTCCACTAAAATATTCTTTTTGTTCTTCAATGACTTACGATAGCAAGAATATGTCTTTCAAAGTTCAGCCTCATTCAAATCTGGGTGTTAGGTTTATTGCAGTGCATGAGCTATGTATTGTATGGCAATGAGTATTACAATAAGAACTTTATCATATGTCTAATGATTTTTTAAAATGAATACACCAAGAACTTTATCACAAATTCACAACATTTTTTAGATGATGAGGAAGGCCCTCTATCCCACTTCATTTATGATACTTGAGAGATTAAAAATTGATTTGAAGAGAGACTTACTGAATGCTATATGTTAGCCATTCAGTGTTTGGATAGAATAATAGTATTCACAAGGCAAAGGAGGGCCACATCTTGCCATGGAGTGAAAGGGGTGTGGGTGTAGTTGAAAAGGTGGCCATATCCATGTGAGCCTTTCAAGATTGATCAACATATATTAATGGGGCTTGCTAATAAAAAGTGAGGTATGAACTCCTATCATTCATAGAAGAAATTGGGCACTCCATTAGGTTGGAAACACTGTAAAAAAAAAATGTCAACTATGAAGACATGAGACTTTCCACACTTTGCAACCTTAATTATTTGAGAGGCTTGACCTGGCATGTGGTCAAACTTGATGAAAATAACTCATTTCAGCTCAAAGTGAAGAAGCAATTGTGGGGAATGTCTCCCTCTACTTGGGTAGATCAGGATCCATGAAGGGTTGACCAAGGAGGTCAATGTTAGGAGGCCCCATCAGGAGTCAACGGGCTAGTCAAAATTGGGTAGGCATCAAATAAGTTCAATTTAGTTTCAAGCTTTGAACATAGGCTTGCCTCCTAAAGTCAACCATTGCTAAAGTCAGGACATAAGATTTTGGTTTATATTTGGGACCTTTGATTGCATGGCTAAAAAAAAGAAGCCTCTTAAGGTCACATCTTCTCATTCTAGAGAGGGAAACAGCTAAAAATTCAATTCTAAGTGGGATGCCCAACTCGTGGCTCATATTTCGAGATTTTCTCTGTTCTACATAATACTTGATTTTTACTAAGATATAACCTTAGGTCCGAAGCTTTCTATCGTCGTGTGTTTGAGCGCACATCAGAGAACGACACGTAGCTGTGCCTATGAGAATGGCCACTTGCGTCAGCCCAGAAGCTTCTGACACGTAAGCCAGAACGTCATCAACCGCTTTAAAAAAAAAACACGGCCTGCACGCCTGCCATATCTTTCCCGTTGGACAGCGGGATGTTCCGCCCCCCTGGCCGGGTAGTACAATGGGGCCCACTGCAAGTGCGGTACAGACAATAGATAAACCAGATTCGGAGCCTGACATGCTGCCACGTGCATTCTCCACGTCATCGCCGGAAAATCGGGCCTCCAAAACCGCGGGAGACCTCCCCGTCGAGCTCTCTCTCTCTATCTCTCTCTGCGTCGCAGCAAACCTCAGCCGTGTGCGGCTGGCTGATCCCAGTTGACCGGACATCTGACACGTCTGCTGACAGGCGGCACCACGTAGGCAAAACCGCCATGGATCACAAAACAGTGGACTGAATACCACTGGTAAAACTTCCACGGATAGTGGATGGGCGGCGGTCGTAGGGGCTTCTAGATGCGGCAGACTGAGAGGGGCTTTTCTGAAATTTTTCGGAATAATCCTCAAGTCGAAGAAAACCACTGGCGGAGTCATTGGTCAAGGGGGGATGGATGGACACTCCCCAGAAGCGGGAGTTTAGGAGCAAATAATATCTAAAGAGGGGTGAGAGGGTTATTTTCCTAAGACGCGTGGTCAGGGAGAACGTGGGTGCCACGCGCCCGGTAGAGGTGGCGGGCCCTAATCGGCCCAGCTGGACAAGTTGGCCTTCGAAGTTGCTCTTTCATCCCTACAACCTTTATTTATTGGTTTCCGCCCACCACCCTCCTCCCTTGGGGATAACATTGTGAACTTATTTACAATATAAAAACATTGGGGCCTAGTTTGAGAATCCACCTTCTCCCAAACCGCCGGCCGCAAATCTGCTCTGTTGCCCTCGATGGTTTCCGGGCACTTGACGACTAGTTAAATACCACCCCACCCCGCAAGTCTCCAGTACAGCCGAAGGTCGATTCTCTCTCATCGTCGGAGCTCTCCCTCTCATCGTCGGAGTTTTCTCTCTCCGCCGCTCCAGAGCCTTATACGCCGCCGCCGCAGCGCCTCAGGTTTGAGCTCGCCACCATGAGGATGAGCTGCAATGGCTGCCGGGTGCTGAGAAAGGGTTGCAGCGAGAACTGCAGCATCCGGCCATGTCTGCAGTGGATCAGCAGCCCCGAGTCTCAGGGGAACGCCACCGTCTTCCTCGCCAAGTTCTACGGCCGCGCCGGACTCATGAACCTCATCAACGAGGGGCCTGAGAATCTTCGCCCTGGTATGTACGAACCACATCATCTTCCATCGCCGATCGATCCCCTTTTTGATCGTTCCGATCGGCTAGGGTTTGAGAGAGGAGGGAAATGGATCTCGATTTCTCACTGTGGAATGCGTGGTCTGATCTGATCCAGCCATCTTCCGATCGCTTCTGTACGAGGCCTGCGGGAGGATTGTGAATCCTATCTACGGTTCCGTGGGGCTCCTCTGGTCCGGAAGCTGGCATCTATGCCAGGCCGCCGTCGACGCGGTGCTCAAAGGCGCTCCGATCTTGCAGATCTCGTCCGACAGCGCCACCAGCGCTCCTGCTCCACCGTTCATCAAGGCCTCCTCCTTCGACATCCGCCATGTCGCCAAGGACCACAACAGCCACGGCTACGACCTCCACAAGGTGAACAAGGCCACCCGCCCGCGCTTCAAGCGCTCTGCGAACCCCTCCCAGATCCACCGGGACGGCGGCGGCGCCGTCTTCTCAGCGGCGGGGAAGCCGAATTTCGATCTGCCGCGCACCGGCGACTCTCAGTTCCGGCGGATGCGGAGCGAGGAGTCGTTCGCCAGCCAAACCTCCGCGTCCGGCGACGAGGCGGAGGACCACGCCGGTGACGGCGAGAGCCGAGAGCACGACAGCGCCTTCTCCGCGCCGACCTCCATGGTGACGAGCCACAGCCTCGATTCCGGCAAGGCCGACGACGGCGAGGTGGAGCTAGAGCTGACGCTCGGCTTCGAGCCGGTGCACCACAGCCCCCACAACAGCAGCAGCAGCAGCAGCAGCCACAGCCCAAGGCGGAGCTCCGGCCACCGCGCCCCCGCGGCTCCGGCGAGTAGCTCTTGCCGTGTGGGCGGCGTCGATCTGGGCCTCCATCTTCCCCTGTGACCTTGGGAGGGGAGAAAACCTGGCGGCACCGCCGCTCCTCCGCCGAGTAGCCCCGACCGCTTGGGCGTCGATCTGCGTCGCCTTCTTCCCCGGTGACCTTGGAAGGTGGGAAGCTGGCGGCGCCGCCGCTGTCGCCGAAGATATCAGGCATCACCTTTCAGGCCTTTCCGTCGGGCAAGCAGTTTTGTCACACCGGAGTCTGTTCTCTCTCTTCTCCTCCAACCCACTCTCTCAGATAGAAATCTCTCTCATATCCCTTCCCACTCCACATAATACGACCTCTGTGGGTACCATTTCATATTCACAATAGTTAGGTGTTTATTTCTCAATTTCCAGTCAGCGGGGTACCATTTTCGGGTCCTTCCCGGATAACGCGCAAAGACGACCCATCAAGGGGCGGCGGCGGATGAGAGAGAGAGAGAGATTAGGGGTATTATATAAAAAGAGAAGAGGGGTTTTAAAGCAAAAGCCGAAATAAAACCTATTAATTTCGAATTATATGGCGGTCCAATTAATTGGGAAACCAGCATGTTCATCATAGCGCCCAAGGGCCCTCAGCCGTCCATATTTAAGCATTTAACTGAGAGCGATTCAGATTTTATTTTTGGAAAATATCATAATTTACGCATGCAATTTACGAATATTGGAGTTATTATTAGTTTTTGGCGATTCAAATTGGCCCGATTTATTCGATTAAATCAGGGACAAAAAATAAAGATCAACTTAAATACCCTACCACTTTTGGCCAATTTTGCGATCAAAATCGATAAATAAACAATTTTTGGGCGCAATATTTGTTGAATTAAATAGGAACTCGTGATAATCTTGGAATTTACATAATCTATTTTATTTGGTTTAAATCGGACCCTTTTATGAGATTTTTGATCATGAAAAATCCCTTCGTTTTTGGGAAAAAAATCTACCTCAGGGATTCAAATATTTCCACATTTTTTTAACAAATAAATAAATAAATAAATATTTGTGGGCTCTCAATAGATATAGGCATTAAAGTCAACGCAAAGAATATTTAAAGTAAACCATGGATAATTATATGTGAGGTCAACAGACTTGGTTGTGCATTTCCTAATTGAGATATCTCGAAATAGGTGAAAATATTTCGGGATTTTTAATGTTCTTCGTATGTAACTTGGCATAAATGAATTATTAACACTAAATTTTAGGAGATAAAAAAATTGGAAAATAAGGGGGTGAAAAAAAAGGGTTCTTGGTGTGGGTGATTTGGATAACGCAGACCGGCGAGCGAGCCTTCCCAGTCTCTCGTTCTCCACTACTCTCCTCCTCCGGCGACCCTTCCCGACGGCCGGCGAGGGATGGCGGCTCTGCGGCTGACGCCGCTGGCGTCCGTCGACGGCCGGCGAGTCCCCCTCCTCTCTTCTCGGAGCGCGATTCCCCCCGCAGCCGCCTCCTCCATATCCCCTTCTCCTCCTCTTCGTTTCGCTGCTAGGATCCGTCAACGCCGGAGCTGGCCTGGCCCGGCGGCTGTCGGGAAGGAGGGGACTGTGGAGGTGCAGGCCTCCGAGGGAGAGGGACAGGAGCGGGTGCAGCAGCAGGATGCGAGCCCTGAAGATTTGGAGTACGTTGGGCAGATTAAAAATGCAAGTGCTGCGCGCTCCTCTCCCTCACTCTCGATCCGCCTGATTTGTCTCGTCATGTGTTTGCCTTTAAAGCAGTTGGTTACCTTTGTCGTATGTCGTCAGTTTCCTTCCTGTTGGCATTAGATGACGAGTTCCTGACTTTCGTTCTCCGACTTTGCCCGTGAAATGGTTGATTTCAGGTCCTGGAGCTTCTCAAGAAGAACAGGGACATGATCTTTGGCGAGGTGAACACAGTCTTTCTGCCCTAATGGCCTCCCATATGTTGATTCCTGCTTGACGCATGAGTTATTTGGTTTGCTCCCGTGTGCTGAAGAGGTGCGAATATATGATTTCGTCGGAAATGAACTCTGCAAGTGACAGTGAAAACAATGGACGCTAGCGTAGATGCATGGAAGGTGTCAAGTAGTACTCTGTGCAGTGGAGCTTGAGTTCTCTCCCTGCCCATTTTCATGTCGGGTACTGATGTACGATGGAAGCTTCATACATTGGCGGAAATAAGTCTATACGATGGATCGGTTGGATTCCATTCTCCCAGAGCTTTGGAAAGGGGTCAAACAAACAAACCAGGAAGACATGAGCTCTAGAGTTGCTGCTGCCATGCTTTCTTCCTATAACTCTTTGTTGTAGAACACCATGCTTGGAATCATTAAGGGGCTATAAATTCCAAAATTTTCATCAGACATCTATTGCCGTCACCAATTAAATCACGTTGCAGATCTTGAGAAAGATAGCTTGTTTTAGAATTCCTGCAACTCTTTGTTGTAGAACACCATGCTTGGGATCATTAAGGGGCTATATATTCCAAAAATTTCTACAGACATCTATTGCCCTCCCCAATTAAATCTCGTTGCAGATCTTGAGAAAGATAGCTTGTTATAGAATTCCTGTAACTCTTTGTTGGAGAACACCATGCTTGGAATCATTAAGGGGCTATATATTCCAAAACTTTCTACAGACATCTATTGCCCTCCCCAATTAAATCTCGTTGCTTTAAATTGTGCAGGGTTTCAACTATCAAGGGATCATACGTCCTAAAGTTATTGTTAGATGCCTAATGCCGTTGAAAATTTTGTAGTGAATTATAAAAGCTGGGATAGTATTTCTTTCCTAGGATAAGAATCAAGCTTTAGATTCCCGCAGGTTGGTAATCTATACAGATCGTTAGCACTGAAAGTAGACTGAGAAATGAAAGTATGACCCTATTTCAGGATGACGATTATTATGGGACTTCAGTTTATGAAGAAATTTTTTGTTTGCTATTCGGAACACAACACCACTAGTTTTATAACGCAATTGAGGGGGCTGGTGTCCGAGATTCCGAGGAAACTTTTTGAAAGCAGGAGATTAGGCATGTAGACGGCCTACTCTTCCTACAGCAGATCAATCAATCTCATGCGGATTCATGGAAATGGAAAAGAAGGGAAAAAGGGATATTCACGATCAAGTGAGAGATGATCATATCGTTGTAGATACGAACACTAGGCACCACATGGGATCTAGTGTCTGAATATCTCCATTATATTGACGATGGAGATATCGATGTGAATGGTTTCCTATGGATGATTTTTAGATACTGTTGATTAATATTTATAATGGATTACAGCTAGATCTCCTTCACCCTATGTAAGATGGAGGAATCCTTGGATCACTTGATCTTTGGTGCTTATTCTAGTGCGAGATTTGATATGGAATTATTTATTCCTTATGCCTGTCATACAATGACTTCTCCTTGGTCGAATGAATGAGCTGGGAGCAGCTTGAGAATGGAAGTAAGTATTAAAAGGGTGCCATGTAGGATGGTGACCTATCCTTCACATGATCCTCTGATTATGCCTTGATTACGGAATAATGGTCGAAGAGGATCCCTTTTCCTGTTTTGTCCTTGTATTTCAGATATTAGTCAGATCCTTCTTTCGCATCAAATAGGGTTTAGATGAGTTAAAACGGAGAGAAAGCTAAACTGGACCAAAAAAGATGGATTGAAAAATCAGACCAGAGAGCGGGCACCTCATGTTCTGATGCTTACATCTTCTACCCGTACGCTTATGTCTAGACCCCTTTAACTTTTGCTGTTTGTTTCATATTCTTAGAGTAAGTGCCTTAAGCCTTTGTTTTCACATGTGGGCGTATGGTTTATCTAGTAAATCTATTTCTGGTAATTATAAGCTTATATTTCATTCTGAAGGCTTATGTTTATCTTTTAAATTTATTTCATGGCAGGACCTTATTGATTAATAATTTCCCCCATTTGTTTAAATCTAGAGACCTACTAACATCAACTTAATTTAGGAGTTTTAACATTATAATTTGCCCAGAATCTTCTGATTCATCCCTTAAGTAAGCTTTTATTTTATCATAAACTTATCTCTTGTCTGCATAAGATTATAGTTTCCCTCGAAGCTTATATCTTGCTCTGTAAACTTATCTTTCTGTAAACTTATCTCGGGGCAGTGCCACACCCCATAAGGTAATATTTTCCCTGTACTTCAGATCAGGAGACCCCCCTTTAAGCTTATATTAGAGTCACTATTAGCTTAAATTTGGAGCACTGAGCTTACACTTGGTTCTGTCTAACAATAGCGGGGATAAACTAAGATAAAGGGTCCAGCATGAACTTGGACGATTTATCTGGTTTTGTAATGAAACGAGCTCTTGAAGTAAATATGGAATCTGAGGAATTCTATCTCGTTGGGGCAACAGAGTTTTTCAATAGTGTACAAGGAGAGGAAAACAGGAAATCAGATAGAGAAGAGAAGGGAGCTAGATCAGGCTTCACAAGTCTAAACAGCGATTCTGAAAGCCTAAACACAAGCTTGAAAAGCAGAACAACAATGGCTTTCCCCTGAGATATTCCAAACCACACTTGTTGAATCAAAAGACAAGAGCACACTTTGGAGAGGTTGCAAATAACAAACAAACCCTAACTTTTAAGGGGAGAAATATTTTTCTATCTACTTTTTAATTTTTTCAATAACTGGTAGGATTTTTTTAATGAAATCATGTTAATCTATCAAACTACAGTCCTTACAGCTAACACTAACGTATATAAATTTTGACTTACAAGACAGCACAAGGCAGTAAAATTTGTCTGGGTGACAGTGGTCTCCCCCCACAGTAATGGCGACTTCCTTTAGTGTTGCGATATATTTGCATGTAATGACCTACGAGCAAAGAAAGAAATAATATATCTAGAAAGCAAACCATGACATGTGAGACCGGTAAATGAATTAAAAAGGTGTTAGAATACGAGAATAACTCATCATAAACAGATGTCCATCAACCTACAAAGTAGGTGAAGAGAAAGCAGCATGGTCGAGCGTCAAATGTATCATTTGGAAATTATTCATAGTAACTGGGCTCCACCATCTTGGACGTTCGTGGTAGACTGATTTGAAATTATGTGCTGCTTCAGATCATGTTAGTTCGTCCCATTGAAGTCTCCATCGTCACTGGTGGAACAGAATATCAGTTTCGTTTTAATTCCAACATTTCTGATTTTTTCTGTCATTGATGGGCCTAAGATGAGTACTCTTAGATCGCTGTTCCTTTTTTGATGGTTTCAGGTAAAGTTAACATTGATGATTGAAGATCCTAGAGAACTTGAACGTAAAAGATTGCTTGGAATAGATACCGACGAGGTGACCAGGGATGACTTGGTTTCTGCCTTGGTAGATGTATGCCCCTCATCTTTTGTGATATACTACTTCAGTCTCATGTTTCAGTAAGGCATACACATATGGACATCTCACACCTAGCATGAAATGAAACTGATTTTCTCCTCAAGTTATCATTACAAGAATCTTCCTTTGTCATTTGACTGTCTTCAATCACTTCATGAGAGCATGCAAACTTGGATCTGTTTTTTCTCTGCTAAATGAATCTACGTGTCTATGTTCTGTTCTACCCTGACATCCAAACATGATGTCAGACACGACTGTGGCTAGTAGACAAAATCAACTTCATTTCCAGGAATGGAAAAACAAAACTAATTCGATAGTCTCTATTCCTTGGTAATCGAAGCCCAAGGATCTATGAACGAGCTTATGCTTGACTAGCCAAGCAGATAATGACTCTGCATCTTCTTGATCTCTCTCACATTTGTATTTGTATAAGTATTTCATATTTACAATGAAATTACTTCTTTATACAGTCCTCTGTTTGAGATTTTGCAGCCTAATTTTCGCCAAAATATTCCATTTTATCATGAGCAAAGATTACTATTGCCATCTTCCACACAGTTCACATATTCGCTTATAAACCCAGATGTCGAGTGCCATTAGCGTACACAGAAAACCAACTTTTGTCACACTTGCCTAAAGTTGAGTAACATGGGAAAGTGAGGAACTAAAATGCGAGCTAATAAATTGCAAGCACATAATCTATACAAGTGCAATTCAAATGTCTGAAATTTTTTTGAATAAAAAATAATTCAAAATTTCAGGATATAGATTAGTGCATCTTATAGTAAGTAGTGGTTTATTCTCCCTTTGCCTGAAAAGTATATCAAATGCAAAAATCAAATAAATACTAGCTAATGTATTTATTTTGGCCTCTCATTCATTCCATGCCATGAAATTTATCATTGGCTAAAAATTTACATGGTTTTGTCGCGTTGGTTTTTAATTGCATAAAGCCCACTCAGAAAGGTGACATTTCTAGGAAGAATGATACTTTATGACCGGAAATAAGGGGCTTGTTGAGAATTGATCTTGATTGAGATTCTTGCAACTTGGAGAATGAAAGGAGTTGATCCTCACGATCCTCCACTTCCAGGAAGATGAATCAGTCACCACTTCTTAGAGCAGAGTTTCCACAATCCCAAAATCTCGCATCAATTATCTTGGTTTCCCGCTTAAATACAGGTTACATGAGTTAATGGGCCAAGCCCATTACATTAGACTTTAAGTGGATCCATTAACAGTCTAATGGATCCACTTAATATAGGGAATGACAGAGAAGGACGAAAATACAGTGAAAAGAAACAGATGGAAAGGAAAAACAATCCAAGAGAGTTCAACAGGGCTTGTTGAGCCTGCCACTAGCTTGTTGCCATCCAGTGATTTTGCTTCTAATCAATGTTGGGCTTCAATTTTTTTCTGCCATTAGCCTGCCACTAGATTGTACGATGATGGGATTCAAATATTATTTTTTCCCTTGTAAACCTGATATGTGATCTTGAAGTTGATGGAGGATTATGAGTCTCCTTACATGGATTCGAGGCCCTTCATTGCAAGATCCATTTGTTAAATTTATTGATTTTTAGTGTTTTTGTCTTCCCCTTTTTTCTCTCCTTATTTTCAATCTTTTTCATATACATTCGGTGCAGGGGGGGTTACCTCCCAGAAGGAAAACGACAAGCCTTGTTAAATGGTTTCATATGGACATTTGGGAGCCTTCTCTAATTATTAACCTTTCCATCGTACTAATGATGTATAAAATCTATGAGGATTCCTCCATCAATGAACATGGATATGCTGTGGAGTTGTGTTATCTGAAAACCTGTCGCAGTAGAGTTCTATAGTCTTTCAATCTTTTTGAAAAGTGTGGAAAAAAATGTAAAAGTTTAAAGATATCTGGGAACCATTGAAACCCAATAAAGCTTCCTCACCCTGGTTTGCTATCTTGATGCAATTACATCTGTGATTTCTGGGATGTGTCTGTCTAAATAGCAGAACTCCTGATGCTATGCTGCTCTTTATTAGGTGAACGAGGGACGAGTTCCTGAGAATCGTCTTGCTCTGAGACTACTTGCCGAGGAGATGCTACAATGGCCCAATCTTGAGGTATTTTTAGCAGCCACAAAGTACGGTCGAATTATGCTCCTAGCATTTTAACTAAATAATTCACATACATTATGGCTTCCATGTTTCATTTTTCATCTTCTTCTCCATGTCCTCATTATGGATCAGATTGCCACCCAAAATTCCACTGCAAATTCCAGTTTCCATTATGGGAAAAGGCAGGAACGTAGAAAATGTTGCATCTTTTTTTTTTTTTACCTTCTGGTTCATCATCTGATTTAGTACATTGCGTTCCATGAGAGAGATTTTCTTGCAGATTCTCCTACTTCCCACGAGGGTCTTTTAAAAAAAAAGAGCTTTTTTGACGGGCCCTTGTAAATCTAGTAATGAGAGGCAGCCGTAGAAATCATTCAAGCTCCTCCGCCAGGCCCACTAGGTTTCATAATCACTGCTCCTTGATCTTCTTGCCAAGAACAGGTGGAGGCTCCGAAGAAGGGGTCTCGCAAATCGCTGTACGCGAAGGCCACAGACACCGGAATTGATCCCAAGGAAGCCGCCAAGCGGCTGAACATCGACTGGGATTCAGCGGCCGACATCGAGTCCGAGGACGACGACACTGAAGATGCGCCTGTACCCCCTGTTGTGGTACGATCCACCTCCTCTCAACAGAGATGATCTGTCACCTCGGCAACTTCTCAGCCCATTTCATCCTGCTCGATCCTTTGCAGGGCTATGGGGCGCTCTACCTGGTGACGGCCCTGCCGGTCATAATCGGCGCGTCTGTCGTGCTCATCCTGTTCTACAACTCTCTGCAGTGAGGATCCTTTTTTGCCATAAATGTATATTCTATCACGCTGCATCGACGTCAAATGCGGGCATCCCCACTAGATCGATCCATTGCGCCTGGTGCCATCATCTTCTTTCCCTGTAAGTTGCGCTGCACTTTTCCCCTCAGATTGTGCAACCTTTGGCCGGCCCTTCCGGTGAAATGATGTTATTCCTCTCGCTGTAGTGCAGATCCAGCTGCGAACTCATGTGGGTGTTCTTCGTGTGGGAGTCCCACAGCCATCAGACTTGTCTCTGCAAACTTGAATGTAAAATCGGATCGTCATTCATTTGGGTGTTTCTGGCTTTAAATGGTATTCATGGCACATCTCACATGGTTCTTCAGATCCCTGAATCTGAGCTTCTGGGATTGACTTGAAGCTGCAGGAGAAGGTAGGATTTCAGTTTGGCGGGCATTTCCACAAGAAGAAGAAGAAGAAGAAGAAGAAGAAGAAGAAGAAGCAGAGAGGCCCCCCAGAGGGTGGGAGAGAGAAGAGCCCTTTTCTTCCTTCTCCGGCATTTACTCAGGCACCTTGGCGGCCGTCCACTGGTAGGTGGGTCCTGCACACACCCCCCCCTCTTCCCTCATACCCGTCGCCGGAGTCGTCGGCGGAAGCGGTGCCGCCACCGGCTAGGGTAGATGGGGCCGAATTGAAGGCGCTGGCTGATGGTGAATTCGCTGCCCCACCCGGCATTCAATGGCAATAAATCCCCAGGAGCCCGCTGCCTGCGGGGGAGAAGTTGATCCATTCTTCCTTCCCTCCGGGGCGGGGATACGCCCACCTGGGGATGGAGAAGAAGGGGACTGGGTTTTACATTATTGCTTTCTTCCAGGGAAGGTCAGGTCAGGTCAGGCCTCCTTGGAACAGAGGACCCACTTTACCCAGGAAGCTCTCTCTCTCTCTCTTTCTCTTTCTCTTTCTCCCTTTCTCTCTCTCTCTCTCCCCCTCTCACTCACTCTCCCTCTCTCTCTCACTCACTCACTCACTCACTCACTCAGTCTCTCTCTCTCCCTCTCTCTCTCTCTCACTCACTCACTCACTCTCTCTCTCCCCTTTCTCTCCCTCTCTCCTCTCTCTCTCTCTCTCTCTTTCTCTTTCTCTTTCTCCCTTTCTCTCTCTCTCTCTCCCCCTCTCACTCACTCTCCCTCTCTCTCTCACTCACTCACTCACTCACTCACTCAGTCTCTCTCTCTCCCTCTCTCTCTCTCTCACTCACTCACTCACTCTCTCTCTCCCCTTTCTCTCCCTCTCTCCTCTCTCTCACTCACTTCTCACACACACTCTCTCTCTCTATCCATCTCCCCCCTCCAGGCGCGCGACTTGTCTTCTGTTCTCTGTGTCTGTCTCTCGCTCCAGTCTCAAGGGAAATTACTAAACAGCCACCTAAAATTGACCACCGTCGTGCTTCAATATTCTTAATTAGTTTTAAAATGGTTAGAATATTAGCTGCGAGTTTTTTTTTCTTTCTGACTCCGCGTGCCGATTTAAGGAGTCGTCTTATTCTTAAATTGAATTCGAGATACGTTTTTTGATAAACCCTCCTTTGGAAAATATTTAAGGAAGTAACCTCACAAGAACTGATAATTGCGTTGTGCCGTGACGGAAAACCCGACAGGGGTGCGCAAGTAAAATTCCCATTCGTGGGGATAAAAAAGCCACCGTATGAAGGTTTTAGGATCGGACGGTCATACCGGCTTGGATATCCACCCATTGAACGGCTAGTATAGTGGGACCACGGGGAATGCGACGTCAAATCACCCGGATTGGACGGCGTGGGCCCCTGATAACCGTGTGAGCAGCCAGACATGTTGATCATCAAGATGGGAGAGAGAATTCCGTCGTTGCGGTGCCCTCAGTCGCCAACGTCTGGAGGGTCGCAGCACCGCCTCGGCTTCGTGGCCCGGCCCTGCCGTTGCTGGTCTGCTCGAAGGACGCCCCAACTCGGTTGGGAGGTAACTCGTGGCCGGTGAACGGATCCTCTCCGACGGACTCCGCCACCGGCGGTATTCTGAGAGTGACTATCGTTAGCTCACTCCGATCCGGGTGGTGGCCTCGCAGTCTGCACCCTCTCTCGCTCTCGGTCTCTCTCTCTCTCTCTCTTTTGGTGGTCAATGTAGGGGTGGAGTGTTGGCAATGAGGTCGCCGGAAAGGAGGCGGACTCCACTCCGGTGGGTGGTGATGGTGGCGGCGATGTGGGCAGTCCAGTTATTGTTGTGGGTGCAACTCTCGGCTCATCAGGCGGTGGCAATTGAAGCAAACGCCTTGACGCAGGCGGCAGAGAGGCAGCTGTACAAGGAGAAATTAGTGTTTCCGGGGAAGCAGCCATCGCCGCTGGACCTGCGCGGTGCCGGGAGGGGATCAGAATCTCCGCCGCCGCGGTCGCCGACGGCGCCGAAGCACCTCGGTGAGAGTAAGCGGCGGGTGCCTAGCTGTCCCAATCCCCTCCACAACCGCTGAAGATCTGAGGGGAGGAGCTCGGGAAGTTCTACTACTCTCTGAAGATCAGGTTTTTCTAATGAGAGAGAAGGGCTTTGTGTGACTAGAATCTTTATGATTTGGCTGAACTACATCTTACGGTCATGTGTTCTTGTGATGGTCTCCAACTCCGAACTGGGAAGGGAGGCCTGTGTTTACTTGATATTCTTCTCCATTTGATACGGAACTCCTTCCACTTCTTCGCCATAATTATAGTATTAGCTGGATATTGATAATCTTACCTACCTTCTCAATGACCTCCTCAGCCAATGCTATTATTTCCTACCCATCTTCATTCATCTCTCCTGTTTATCTAGAGTGACCATAAACATATAGGTGTGTACTCAGTCATATTGCTATCATGACGGAAATTATATGGTGGCTGATATGGTATTAGTTATCACAAACTCTTTTGATAATTTGACTCAAGAGTGTCAATCTTCAAGTATTTTGTATAATGATAAAGTTGTATCTACAATCAAGTTTATTTCGATGGTAGATTGATGGCTATAGTGTAAATTTTATCTATGAACTAGTGCTCAATATTAACCACCTCAACAAGCAACTTAATTTGATAATATCCAGTACAAATTTCAAATCTCATAATTTTTATAAATAAAATAAAATAAAATAAAATAAAATAAAATAATATCACGTTGTATCCATACATAAATTGGGGAGTGGGACTATACAATGTACACATGTGTTCATTGTGTTGTCGTCACAACTATATGTTGATTGAAATAAAGTGAAAAATAATTCTCATCCAAATTAGAAAAGATGTCATTTAGTTTCTCTAAGAATTTTTAAGAGAGATTATTTTATTTTCTTACACGGAAACCTATCATTGAATCCCATCATGATACGATACGTTCCTAATGAGTCACACAAACTTGCATAATTTATGATTTTTTTTATTATTTAAAACTTAGGTTACCATCTCTAGAGGATATTTTAAGGGTCAAGTTCTAGAAACATATTGAATAAAATAAAAATAAAAATTGTATAGATAGTTGTGATAATGATAAGGTGATAGGTATACTTTGGCCTTATACCATGCTTTGATAGGTACACACTGTAGTAAAATGAGGAAACTAGAGGTGAACATGATACGAATTTTATACATGAAGCATTGATGTAAGTGGGGCTAGTTATTCAATTTTCTTTTACACTGCATTATTTCCTTCACATTGAATGTGCTTGTGTAGAGTAAATACCAAACAATAAATACTTATAATTATGGCAGATTTCAAAATATCTACATCTCCTATTTTATAACATTATTGAAAGACCAAATGAAAAGAGCTTCAATTAAAAAATGGTTTTGATGGTAAAACTTTTGAGATAGATAACTTCTTGATTTTCTATTTTTTTATTTAGTATGAGAATAGGTCAATAATTTATTTTTTTCATAATAATCTTCATTATACATGCTCTTCTCTTAGGATCGATGTGTACTTAATCATATATATTTACTTAGTAGTTCATTTTAACTTTTTTCAATCTCTTTATCATCCAATCCTACTAGGCCTTATTGGAATATTAATTACTTTAATTTTCAAACTCTTTAAGTATAATTAGGACAAACATAAGTTTGATTTCATTCTATTTATTTAGGCACTATATTTTTTATTTGATTATTCTCATTATTAATCACACAATTTAATTATACTCATCCAAGATATAGTAGTTCAAGTTATAAGACTTGTCAAGTTGGGATTTAAGTGCGATTCCTTTCAAATATACTAAAATGAAAAATTAATCAAATTTCTCCTTAAATAGCTAGATATGTTTTTTTTGGAATAGGGTTCATTAGATGCAATTTGGAGGAATATTCATGTAGAAGAGAAAAATGTTTTCAATGTAATTTTATTTTCGATTTAATAAATATTGTGATTTTTATTACATTAGACAATGTTTTCCCAAAATAATACTTACTAGAAATATGAAAATAGGGTTTAGAACTAAATGATCAATGCAAACTATGCCTTGATTAGTAACCATTAGTCTTAATTAAAAAAAGTATTTGAACCGTATGTTACACTCTTTAAATAGCTAGATACGTTTAATGTCTTGATATTGATCTTTAAATGGCTGATATAGTAAGTCATATCTCATTCATCAATTACTAACTTTCAAATGTGTCCTGCACCATACCTTTGTACCTTTCCCCTATATGTCAAATGATTCATGTTTCTGTACATCTTTCGGGGTGTATTCACTAAGATATTTCGTTTATATATTATTTAGAAAATTCATACCTAGGTAACGATTGTCGCACGCTATATGCTAAAAGGCTGATCTAAAGCAACTAGATTATTTAACGTATAAATCATGGTAGGAGATAACTTGAGGGGGCGTTTAAACTTCAAATATTAATTACTTCTATATAATAGAGTATAGTAATCACTTGATATATAAATGATGTAATAGTGGTTTGGTCAATCTAATACATAATCTACCTAGTCACTCATTCTTGAAAATCTATGACGTTACTTAAACTATTTGTTAGCTTACCCAAGGTGTTAATCATCTTACTGAAGCCTCCATATCACAGCTAAGCCTTGTTAAGTAATGCACTCTTACATGAAAAGAACAAGGAAAATAAACTTAAAAACCTGAAAAACTGATTACCAAATCTAGAGATATGATTTAAGCTTTGTTAGCTTTATCTCCGACAATGCACTTAAGAAGAGATTTTTTTTTGAACTTCAAGTGCTCGAGTGTTGACCATTTGTAGGTTTTTCAACTATAATAACTTGGCTTTAAGCTTAGAAGGATGGCATGGTGATGTTCAGAGACCTATTAGGTGGCTAAAAAAATAACGATAAATTTCATCCAGCAATAATTTAAATTTTATTCTTTGGTACATTATGTATTTTCCTCATTTCTTCTCAGTAGGATTTAAAAAATCTGATTTGATATAAAATTCTCAGAGTTAATACGCGATTGGAGGAGCCGCGGGGTCATCTCCTTCCTTCTTGTCGGTTATCCGTTACTTGTCAAACCTACCCACACTATCTTCCTCTCCTTCCTGGCGAACCGGCGGGCCCCTTCCTCCTTGAAGATCTCCGACCCTCCCCTGCTGAGTCGTCACCACCACGACAGTCGCCAGGCCGCCTGCGATTCTTTGGCCGGTAGCGTTTGTGATCGAAGAAACAGTGACCCATCACTCCTGAGCCGGCGGCGCCACCGCTTCTGCCTCTGTCGATGCTGCCGCCCCCCTGCGACCAGATAATCATCACCAACTGCGAGCCCCCACCGCGTAGGAGTCACTCCGCCGCAGCCTACGATGATGCCGCCGGCGAGTACCTCCGATGAAAACCGGTTGCACCGGCTAAGCGTCACCTGCTGACCCAGAGGTGGCATCTACCTGACGCTTGTGCTGGAAGAAACAGCGACCCATCACATCGGAGCAGGCGGCGGCGGCGGCACCGCTTCTCTCGCTGTCGAAGCTGCCGCCGTCATGCGGCTAGATAATCATCACCAACTGCGAGCTTCCACCGCGTAGGATGCCCACCGCCGCAGCACGCGATGCCGCCGGCGAGTACCTCCGATGAAAGCTGGTTGCACCCGCGAGTACCTCGCTGACTGCACCGAGCTGCTGGGCTTGAGAAGCCCGTTGATCCTCCGCCCAAGGTGGACGAGGGCCGGTGGGAACTGGAGAAAGACATGGTAGGCAGATCCGAGGGGTCCGTGTATGAAGAGCAGACTCCCTGACTGACCAGTAGTACCAAATAATTGTCTATATGCATTCATCTCTCTGATGGGCTATTTTTTAGGGGCGAAGAAGATACATATATGGACATATTTGTTGAATCCTTATGTATGTTTATTTATTTATCCTTCTGGCTTATGGCTTATGCCACAAGGTGTGCACTATATGGTTTTTTATTTATCATTCGGGGTCTAGTTACGAGCCTATGTTAGTGGGTTGTCCAAGCTCCTTAGCGACGAAGAAGCTTCATATTTGGACACAATTGATGAATCCGTATGTTTATTTATTTCTCCTGGGTTATGGCGTATACTACAAGGTGTCCACAATGTCTTTTTGTTCCTAATTCGGGACCTGGTTACAGACCAATGTTAGTGTGGGTTGTGGACAGACCTTATCTTCTTCCAGACGTGTAAATATTTGGTCGAGTTTGGAAGCTTACCACTGTTTTTCATAAAAAAAATGTTGACATATTACTCCATAAATAGTTGATTGAACATACTTTTAGTAAATAAATAAATGTTTGCATATTTATCATGAAAATTAACCGAAAATATCTTAAAATCAAATCCTGTTCGTGTTTATTATTTATTGTGATTCTAAAATCTCCCTCCTCTTGATGAGACAAAATCTTTCTTCATTTTTTGAGTTTTCTCTCCCTTTTTTAAATGGAAAAGTTAAATAATGTAACAAAGAAAATAAAAAATATGTCATGATGATATACGTGAAGTTAGGTGCAAACACTGCATGATCATTGCACACATAAAAAATCATAAGCAATTAATAAAAATTCATACTTGAGACCAAGAGGGAAGTATCTCGATTAGTGAAGATGTCCTTACAAGATGCAACATAGAAAAAAGATCATACGTTTGATAGAGTTGATACTATCTAGCTGTGGGTTTTCTAATGCCTGATGTTAAGCGTACAACATCAGTTCCCAATGTATCAACTAATTTTCTTATCGATTTCAACCTTACTTTACACCACAATGATCTAAGCCTTCAACATGTATACTTCGTGCAATACAATTAACTATACCAATCCGGAAAGCAATTAGCCCTTTGCCTTTGGGAAGGCATCGCTCCTCTACCCAACCATGCGACGCATACTTTCCAACCTTGAACTTCTTGATCACGTTGCCTAGATGAGCGAAGAAGTTATACAACTATATGCTTTCATAGATATTGAGTTTTTTTCTTGATTAATAACATTTCCATAGAAACCTAGAGTGTTTTATAATGTTTTAAAATGCAACTCTATGACAAACTTAGGTTTGTTGGCACCCACACTACCTCTCCGTATTAGCAAATACCTACATTTCTTTTATTATTTATTGATTTTAAGAGGCTCTTAAAGATATTAGACTACCACTAATAGCAAGCACTCGAGTGTACTCGCTCAGAGCTAGAGTTAGGCACAGTCCATTCAACATAAAGTATTAAATTTAAAATTGAATGTTAACTATGCTCTGGTTGACCTACATTCATGAAGATAAAAATTAAGTGCTTGGTACACTTCGGGGGGCATAAAACTAACGGTTTAGTGCTCTCTCTCTCTCTCTTTCCTCTCTCTCTCACTCATGCGCCGTCCGTTAGGAACCCAACGCAGACCAGGTTCATCCAGGGACACAGGTCAACCCAAACGATCTAAATCAGTACGAACATAGACTTCTCAGACACTCAGACGACCGCCAAAAGTTTCCACTTTTTACCAGAAAGTCCAGTAGACCCATAGGATCAAGACGTCTGCCATGAAGAGCAAGTAAGAGATGCAAGAGAGAGAAAGAGAGAGAGAGAGAGAGAGAGAGAGAGAGAGAGAGAGAGAGAGAGAGAAAGTTACTTACAGGGTAACCCCATCCCACGATCAAAAACCAGAAAATTGAGCACAGAGCTCAAGCGCTCCCCAGTTCTCAGTATCAGCCTCTGCACCTCCATCATCAGCCATCAGGCATAGCCAGCCATTCCCACAGTTGAGGAGCTTGGGCGACCGGTTGTTGTCTTCCGGGCGGCAGCTTGCCTGGTGGCCTTGGTGAAGTACATGTAGAAGTAGACGTTGAGGATCATGGTGAAGACGACGAACACCGCGCCTGCAATGAACACCCCCTTCCGCAGTGACTCGCAGGTCCAGCTCTGAGCATAGACCATGCCCCTGTACTTGGTGTGGTATGCATTCTTCGCCGCCCCCGCAACCAAGCAGGCCTCCGCGATCAAGAAGGTCAACCTACCACGAAGTCAACCCCAAGTACATATATATATAGATAGATACAGAGAGAGAGAGTGCGAGAGAGAGAGAGAGAGAGAGAGAGAGAAGTCCATACAGTGAGGAGGAGAAGTATATGATGGCCCAGGCACGGCTGCCCCCAGGGGCCAGGGGGCGGCCGAAGCACATGCACTTGGTGACGGCCATGAGCAAACTCTCACTCGAGAAAAGGAACAGGAATGCGCCGACTCCATAGCCAGTGGCCACATCAGAGTCGTACACGCAGAAGGTGTAGTTGCCATTGGTGGGGTCGATCTCTATCCGCCCCTGCAGATGAAAGTCACATCCGAGTCATACACTCACAGTGGCATGCGACCTCAGGAAAAAGTCAAAATTGAAATTGGCACCAACAAATTCAGGAACCACCACTCAAATCACCAGTAAATAAATGAATTGGATCGTAACAAGGAAAGCGGAAATAATTTTTTAGGGCATTCGACAGGTCCGCAAAAGAATTAAATGAACTAAGAGTCAACTATATGACATCAAAGATTATATAGTAAGAACATATATGAAGAAAGGTTTTTTGTCTGGCTAAAAGTCAACTATATAACATCAAAGACAGATTTAGTGCAAGTGGCCACTGGGTTGAGGGTGGGTCACACTGACTCAATTTCTCTCACTACAATCTCAGAAGGGGAGAAGAAAAAAAACAGAAAAGAACAAAATACGCATGAACCCAGACTCATCTAACTGCAGGGTCAAGTCAGGGATCTTGTTCTTCCCCACTTGCTGCATCTGTTCATGGATGGTCAATGGTACTCAAGAAAGTACATTATTAAAAAAATCCGAGCAACCAGAGTCAACTATGTACTGAGAAAGATGCAGAGACATTGACGGAGGAGAAGGAGAAGTAGAAGATAAAGATTTATATAAACTTACATACGCATATAAAATTGTATTAATATCCAGAAATTTAGGTATGAAAAGAGATTCATGTAAATAGCTACATGCCAAGAACCTTGAACGTTGACCTTGAGACCGATGAAAACAAGGAACCGCTTCTCTTTCCTATCTGTTAACCTCTTATTCACTCCATTATTATAAAAATGGCGGATCTTCTAGCATGTTAAGGTGAGACCAGGTCATAAAATTTGAAAAATTAAACGCCGCAAGTGTTTGTAAGCGCCAGAGAGAGGGAGAGAGAGAGATAGAGAGGAAAAGCGTTCGAGGGAAGGGCAAATAAGGGGAAAAATGCGGGCTTGGGAGAAATCTGTTCTAAGGAGATTTTGGGAAGAAATCTTCATGAGAACATATAATTTACGCGCTTGGGAGTGCTGTCTGCGAAGAACATATAATCTGGGGAAAATAGGAAAAGAATCTTGCAGCCTTTAAACTCATGGGGGCCAATGACGCCCTCAACCAGGGATCCTCCAAAAAGATGGTAGATGATGTATTCCCCCAACGTCTTCGAACACTCAGAGGCATCCCCGACTGAGCAGATGCAGTCGAGAAGGGACTGAACGCTACCTCTTCCACCCCAAGTGCCCACCTTTCAAAGGGAACATCATCAAACCACGCAGGAGGAATAGAACACTCCGAAGCTAAGAACGATCTGACGTGATGCTAGACGGCGGCGTAGTAACTTTTAGGGGATTAATCCTAAAACCCCAGGGAACCCCGGTCAAAACCCTCGACAGATTCCCCGAAACAGCCAGTCGTTTGAAGGAAAACCTTGCAGATGCCGGAGATGATGAAAATGGCGCACAGGCAAGTCTCAAGATGAACCCGTAGATTCCGCGAGGAACCCATCAACAAGAGAGGCCCACCCGTTCCAGACATCTGCTCTCTACCCAAGAAAACGATTCCTAGCCACAGCAAACGAGATCCGGGAGAGAGAGGACGGCGGGAGGAGAGAGGGAGAGAGAGAGAGAGACGTACAGTGCTCCGACGGCGCTCGGCGGCAATGGCGAAGCCGAAGGCGACGAGGCTGAGGACGACAACGAGAAGGTAGACCAAGGAGGAGCCCTTCCCTTCCCCCATCCCTCAACCCACGGACACAGACGGCCTGGAAGCAGGCTAAGCAACAGTAATCAAGAAAGCAATGGGGGTAGCGCGGCGGAATCTCTGCACCGTGGGAGCTGAGGGTCAGTGGCGAGCGCCCGCGTGACAGCCTGACAGGAATCAAGAACCAAAGGTTTGGAGGAAGGGGAGGGAGTGGGGCCAAAAACTCTTTCCTTTTTTGAACTGTGCGCTCGAATGGACGTGCCTTCACACACCCCCAGCTGCAGCTCCCGACAAGCAGCCGCAGTCGGCGCCTCCTGTTGACTCTTCATTCCAAAGCGGACCGGGCCCGGCCCAATTTCAAGAAGCAGGTCCGACTTCGGCCCATCCTTACCCCAAGCTCTGTCCATTTATCTTCCAGATTTTTGATAGAGATCTGAATGGGCTGGACTAAACTTTATATTTCAAAGTTGCTGCACTTTACACCAGCATGGGCTAGGGTCTGGCTGAGCCCATATTCCCCCCCCCTCTCTCTCTCTCTCTCTCTCTCTCTCTCTCTCTCTCTCTACAATCCTATTGCCAATCTTTCTTTAATTACTGTACATAAAAGTTGGTCATAGTGCAATATAATTGTTCTCCTTTATACAAAAATGTACTTGTAGGAGCACAACATACATTGAGAGAGAAAGAGCTACTTGGTTGGTGACCCATGTACATCTAGAAGACTAATAATGAAGAAATCACCTATAAGATCCTAGCCGCTTAAAGAGACCTATAGTGTGTTCTCGAAATTCAATGAATTCAGCACTGTGATTTTGCCTTTGAGTTCTTCTTTTCAAAAATAATAAACTATCAATTTCTTAAGTATAGAAGGAAAATATATTTACTTTAGTGGTGATAAAGTTTTCATTATATGATTCTAAACACACTAATTAAACACAATAAAGAAAAATAAGGGTTCAGAGAAATTTGAATGACTTTATAGGAAATGCATAGTATGTGATTACGACCATATGGTGTATAAGGTAACATACAAGAAAAAACTACTGAAATATTTTTGGAGAAAGATAACATATAGAATAGTATGAGGCACATCCAAATATAAAATTTGTATTATTTTTTGCTCATTGGAGGTGTGTACACATGGAGTCTAGGAAAGCTGTGCGTGAGAAGAGAAATAAAAAAAGGAAATGTCCTCTTCAAAATGTGTACTCTATTACCTTGAGCAAGGACAAAAAATATGAGGATTAGATTTCAAGTTATTTATGAAATGATATAAATACATTCAATCTCTCATTCATACAATGAGGTATTGTTTTAAAAGAGAAGACATTTATGAAAATTCAAGATTATCAAAACTAAGAAAAAATATTGGAGAGATAAGGGGGAATCATCAACATCATTTTGCTATATAGTATCACCTTCATCCAAGAACCATTGCATGAATATTGAGTGTCTGATATAACTAGTCAATTAAGTTTTTATCATCATTTAGTTTGGGAATTTAATGAATGAATTTCATGAATATTTTCCCTTAGTCATCCCAAGTTATCCATTACTACCTACTCCATTTGTTTGTAATTCTACTAGTGCTATGGCAACCCTCTTTGAACATAAGAACTATTTTTAGAGCTTAATGAAAAATAAACACAATTTTTAATTAATGTATTATAATATTGGTGACCAAAACTGAGACACCCATGATTCAACTTTCCCCATTATCCTTTCTTCCCCATCTCTTTACACTTATAACCATGTTCAGTGGTTTTGGAACTCTTCATATTTTCATGAAATTATAGCTATATATTACATTTCACATACCAAGTGAGTTAACTAGGATTAAAAAATAGTGGAAGATCAAATTTATAGGTTTCAAACACACTAAGTTTACTCCATTAGCTAGACACCTCATCAGTTGGTTCAACTTGCTCTTTATTAAGACTATTACTAGACTCTAAGACTTTACTAGTATCTTCTAGATTTATGACTCTTTGTGGGTTCAAATGCTCTAAACAAAACTTATATAACATTAATGGTTCTAGGTCACCCGAAGCATTCTAAAACACTTCTTCTCTATTTTGCCTCTATGTCAACATGATCATGATCTTGTACTCACTTACAATGGTATCAATACCATTAGGAATCCTATCCAATATATTTAAGTCACTATTTGACTTAATCTTGTCTGCTTCAATAATTAATGTGTGAGAGAGATCTCTGAGAATCTTTCCACCACTTGAAACATTATCTTCCACAGGGCTCCTGCGGCAGCTACCTCAACACCCTCCACTGAGTCATGAAATCCTAGACTCTTTTTAATACCAAGAGAGAACGGAAGAAAAATGTTTTATTTTCTCTTCTTGCCTCATGCAATGAGGTCGTTTCTTGTAGATTATCAGAAGTGTATGAGAATGAAACATATCTGGGTCAAGGGATGTAGGAGAAGGTTCCGTTGCGAGGAAGAAAAGAGTGCTATTCTCTTCTTATGCGGAGGGAGATTGGATGACACGAACTGCATTAGTAAAATGAGTCCAAGATTGTAGCGCCCAATTGATTCTTCACTCATTATCTTTGAGTAAAACTAAAACTTAGAAACAGGGAATACAAGTTTGTAAGATGTTTCAAAGCCATGTTAAATGGTTGCAGTAACTCTATTTTCGGGGCAGATCAGGAAGAATTTCACTCAATACGACCTCAATATCCTTCATAAAATCTTGTGAGGAGGAGCTCAGCTCGTCACTTGGGATAGAGGATGACCTCATGATTGCACACCAATCGAAATGTTGCACTCTAGACCACCCAAAACCGTCTTTTAGTTTAGTTACACCGACCCTCACTCAGATTTGAAACCTTTGACCAGATCCTCGTTATTCTTCAAACATTTTATGGCAATCAATTCGATTACTGTAATTATTATGGGCTTAACTAAGTTGTTTCCTTATCATATCAATCGGAAAAATCCATCACAATTGGCAGTACATCAATTGTGAAGTCATCCAGCAATGTACTTACAATTCAACACAAAGAAAACAGACTTTGAAATTCTAGGCTCCAACATGACCTAGTGACTGTCAATGGAGGGGGTGAAGAGTGTAGAGAACAAAGAACGGGCTCCGAAATCATGGACAACTGTGTAGATGCTCCTTGTGTTTGGATGGGCGAACATGAGGTCGATGCTCAATGTATGTTATTTCATGTTGTTCTCATGAGGCCCCATGTTCTCATGTTGTTCTTTCATCATCGTCTTGAAACAAGTGGCAAGCCTCGAAGGAAGAAAGAAGATCGCAGGACCGAGAACAGAGCATGGACACCTCGAGCCAGGCAGAAGCCATACACTCACAGACAAGTTTATTATAAGTACTGCGAGAGAGAGAGAGAGAGGTGTGGCGGTGATAATTCCTGGATTTATATTTTAGCCGAAGCTGAGACAATTCTCACCAACAAAAACCAGATATATGACGCCATTGTACAGCTCACATGTTGGGAATCGGCTAACGACGACGGAAAGAAGGGGAAATTGAAGTTGACTCAGAGTGGGGAAAAGAAAGAGGAACAAGACAGAGGAACATAGAGAAAGCTTATGGAAAGTTCAGAAGGGGGTACGATGGCCCCCAGCTGGACCGGCGGCTTAGTTGCCCGGGGGCTTGTAGGCGATGAAGCTGATGCACTGCACTTGGCGCTTGTTGTCGAAGCCGATGATCCTGCTGAAGTAGTTGGGGTAGGCCTTCTTGGCCTCCTCCACCTCCGCGATGACCTGGGAGGCGTCGGTGCAACCGAACATGGGCAGCTTCCACATGGTCCAGTAGCGCCCGTCATAGTACCCTGGCGAGCTGTGGTTCTCACGGTAGATGAATCCTTCCTGTGGTTGCCCCCCGACGGGGAGAGAGAGAGAGAGAGAGTGAGATCAGAATAAGAGCCATTATTTTGTAGAGGAAAGAGTTAGAGAGAGAGACAGAGACAGAGACAGAGACACAGAGAGAGAGGAAGGGAGGGAGGGCGAGTGACTTGCTTTCGAGATTTCAATGCAGGGAATCCAGCCGTTGCGGATGAGGTACTCGACCTCCTTGGCGAGGGCCTCAACGCTGAGATCTGGGAGGTAAGAGAGGGTCTCGAACTTCTTCAAGCCCTCCGGGGGCCACACCTGCATGCAGCGGACCCTGCCGCCGTTGCTGGGGAGAGTCGACAAATCGGCGTTGGCCTTGCGGGTGACCGGGAAGGCGGCGGAGGACCGGAGCCCGTTGAAGGGCGCCACCATGTTGGTCTGGGCCGGGCTGGCGCGGGCCACTGCGGCGGTGGACACCATCATTGAGGAAGCCATGGCAATCCCCCTCCTTCCTTCTTCCTCTTCTGTCGATGCCCGGATCCTTGTTCAGCTTGAGAGGTCATCGGATGTTTCCTCCGCCCGTTTAAATAGGCCCCAACACCGGCTCCAGGAGCTCTGGGAATCCAACGGCTGCCGTCGCCCCCAGACGATGTCAGGCAATCCTTCGCCGTTAGACGCCAAGCGGGGGGGTGACTACATCCCCGCCACCACACACGGCCTCGCCAGAGAGATTCCATCCTTATCGCCAGGCCCTGCTCCCCTCTGGACACGTGGCGCGTTCTCCTTCATCTTATCCGACGGCGAAGGGAATGTGTGAAGCTGCTTCGTCTGGCCGTCGGCCTCCACCCTTCCATCTCTGCCCTCCCCCCCCCTTTTTCCTCCCTCTTCTGCTCTTCTCTTCCTCCTACTGCAATCAAGTTATCCTCTTTCTCATCCTCCAAGGAAGAACGAACCACACAGGCTCAATGGACGGCGCTCTTTTCAGGCTCAAAATGAATAATAAACTAAAATACTCAGACCCTCTCCTTGTGAATCTTTGAAAACCCTCCCCATCAATTAAACTTCCTGAAAGAAGGGAGTTTTCCTATAATATTTGATAAAATTACCCTTTTAGTGCCCTTTAATGAAGGTTTGACGACGGTGAACTGTCTTTGCTCTCATTTGCAGTCAAAACATCTTCAGGCTGGTCTGTTCGAGTGAACTCGGCAAGATGAAATGTATGTTTTAAGTTGTAAAAAGGACTCAACCATCATCTGCTCTTCCTTCACCAGTGACACCCTATTCCCTCCATCCCCGTGAAGCCATGGAAGCGCCGCCATCCTTTCAGTCTTTCCTCTTCCCTCTCCCACTTTCAGGAGGGGAAGAGGCTGGCTGCAAACCCATGTTAACCGTAGTATCCTTTATCATGCATCCTTTTCCTTTACCGGTAATACCCTCCTAATTCCTCCCCGCTCCCGCACGTAAGCCCCCCACGGAGCAGTAACTGTCCAGACCAGTGATGGCGGTGGACCTCACAAGTCTCTCCCCCAACCACCCCTCGTGAAGGTAAGAAGGTAAGTAGCCATTAGGGCCGAACCAGAGAGACTCCCGCTTATCTTTTACCGTTGACAGCCTGCCCCCTTCCTGCCTCTTCCCTCCGCCGCTACTGTGGGCTATCCCGGATGCCATCGCTCACTGAAAGCGAGTGACCGCGGTGGTGCACACCTAACAAGCTCCCTCTTGCGGCCTAGCCTCTCCTTGTGGTCTTCAATACCCTCCCTAATCTCTAAAGGGTTGCGGGGTCCCCCCCCCAACCCGCCCGTCGTCTTCCATTAGAAGCATCAGGCCTCTCCCTTCGGACGCTTGCATGCCCGTGGATAACATCCGCAGCGGATTAGTGAGACTCGCGACCACACATCCAACCTACACGGATTTCACGGATTTAGCCTCTTGCCTCAAGTTTTCCCCATTTCTGATGCAAGTTCAGAATTTTGGAAGATGGTTATCTTGTTTTTAAAAACAATTGAATTTGTGGAGGAGGCGGTGTCAAGGGGGGATATCAGCGAGAATCTGTGGGCCCGGCACGCCCGAAGCCTAGGGTGGGCTAAGCTCTGATCTTCGATGGGGCTCGGGTCAACTTCGAAGCTCATTGGTTTCCCATCTAACCTTCCCCTCGTATGGTACCTATCTCCCCTACCTCCCTCTCTCCCCGGAGACTATTCTATCCAGTCGGCGCCTGTTTTCCAAAGCTTATTTCAGGGCTTTTGCCAAGAACCTGCTCCCATTATAATCGTGTAGAGGACATCAGAGTTCAAGCTGGCCTTTGATGGCCAGCACTGTAGATTAATTGCCCTAATAAAAATCCACTGAAAATTTTTAGTCTAAGAAATGCTGTGCTGTTTCGGTTCTCATAACATTTAGTCCAGGAAGTAAACATAGTCTCCCTCATGACATTTTCTTCTTGACACCAAATGGGTTAAAGTATACAAGGTACATATATTCACGACTTGAGTAACTCTTCAAATGGGTTAAGGTTTCTTTCTCTGGTTCATGGGCGACTTCAAACCATACTGGAAGTGATAAAAAATGTCATTTTTTCTTATACCAGGGGATATAGCTTAATTTAATTTGATGTATATAACAGCATATTTAATAATCTCAAGCTTTATCAATATGATGAAAGGACGTGGAGACAGCCGCAATAGAATGTGATTTGGAAGCAACATGTGGGGCTGTAGAAATTAGTCGGTGGTAGCAGTGCATGCTGGTTCCATATACATTTTGTCTTTTTACTAATTGTGACCTTGTCCCCAAGTTCAAGTATTAAGAAAAAAAATGGTTTAAACTATAAATATCATGTGATCACTTCAAGAACTCTGATTTTTAGTGGCAGTTCCTTTTTTGACATCAATTAGTGGCATTTGAATGGTATGTAAACAATAAATACATGTTTTCTTTGGAAAATGAAAGACATCTGATACATCAGCATATTTTACTACCAATTGACTTGGAAAAATGAATGTATATTACTTCAAGATTAGGTAACTAACTCTAAAAAAACTTACTATAATTTGCTGATGTAAAATGAATTGAGTATCTAAAACTTAGCATTCCAATTCCCTGTTGAGGAAGAAATCAATTAAAGAAGTGCAACATAGATCCATGTATGTTGCTACATGAAAGACATGCCCATTTGGATGTATAGCTTTATTGTCGTTGACTAGAGGCTAAATGAACTAAATCAGTAGTGCATTATGTGATTATCCTTCTGATCCCTATTTGTGTGTTTTCCATACATTTCACAAAACTTTTTCTACTTTTCGTGATCTTTAATATTGTATGTTTTTTTAAAGTATTTTATTAGTTATCTTATTTTGAATATTTTAGTGGCTTATTTTACCCAAGTGTTACTTCTTAGCATTTACAACATCATCTAGATCAATCATAATAACCAGATTAGCACATAGCTAATCCCTTCTAGATTCATTATTACACATTAGCCTAAGTAGAATGAGCTATAGTTCTACTCATATGAACGATTTATCATTATAGTCAAATACAGAATTAGAATGAGTTGCCCTACTTATATGCAGCAGTTCAATGCTTCAATAGGCATGGAATGCTTTACATGATGTTATAAAAGCTACTCTTGTATGGAGTAGATTGGAATGTTGGTGCATCAATTATATGTTTCTTTTATTATGTTAGTTTTTCCTTTAATCTTATGTTGACTCTTTGGAGTATCTACGTAGATATTATGGCTCTCACTTTTTTCTTTTCTCCCTCTCCACTTCTATTTAATGTAGGCTGAATTCCACTCCTTATATCCTATGTTTTGGGTGGTCCAATGGTGAGTTTCAACCGTTAAAAGTTGTGCCATTTTCTGTCACATCAATGCCTAAATTTAAGCTTCTAAAATGTAAGTTAATATTGTAAAATTATTGAATCTTGATAGGTTGTTTGTTACATTGCATTTGTCATTAAAATATCTTCATGAAGAGTAAATGGTTATACATGTGAGAGTTAATTGTATTTAAAAACTATTTTTGACTATTTTAAGGTTTATATAGATTAGTTTGCCCTAGGGAGTATGTTTCTTGGTTTAAGGCATATTTTCATCTACAAGGATTTAAATCATCATATAGTGTAGTTATATTATTCTAAGATTACCATTTTACCTTAGTATCCACTTTCTTATCACCAAAATTATTTATGATGCTAAAGCCAACATCTTGATCAAGTAGTAGAAGGTTTGAAATTAAGATATATAAAAAAGAAATTGGTTTTCTTCTCCAAAAGAAGTAATGTAGTCATATTGATAAATTATATGTTGTGTTTCCCTTGAAGCTATTATATATAGATATATATATACATATAAGCTTATGAAGGAGGACCATTTCCCTAAACACAAAGTACTTTGAATTTCTTATTGTTAGTGGAAAAAAAAGATTGTAATATGCCCAACTAATCCTAGCCATTTTTAGTAGTGGTCTACTAATCTTGCGATTCACATTTATGATATGTAAAGAAACTACATACAAATTGTTTGCAGAAGTTTAGAGAAAGAATGTTTTTTCCTTTCAAAGACAAATGGGTTGGTTGCTCCTCTACATGAAAACAAGAATTTACATTAGAATATAAATTAACTGATTTGATAGATTAATTCATAGTTGTTAAAGTTGTATCTTGATACATTTTGTGACTATTTTGATAGATTCTATCTTATAAATAATTTTTCTTATGTTCCATTAAATTAGTCAATTATAATTTCAATGAAGAAGTGTCCTAGTTTAATCCCAAAGTTTTATTACTTAAGAGCAGTGAATCAACACAAATGATGTCGCTTTAAATAGGTGATCGAGATCACAAATAACAAGTTTTTTATACTTCATAAGATTTAGGTTGATTAATCTTCTTTTTTTTTCTCAATAAGCTCAAAAGATAGTGTTTTTATAATTTATGTCCAAGTTATCCTCATATCTTGAAACAACTTTGCAAGAATCAAGAAAAAAAATAACATTTGATGAATTAGTATGTAATCAAAGATCTTGGACAGATCAAGTAACTATCAAGAATAGTAATTTATTTTTATTTTTTTTTGTCATTTGTTGTATATGATCGAAGATTAATGAAATATTTACTACTTATTAATTTATTATTATATGATTTATACTAGTGTCTTGGTCAAGTACGAAATATTTAATTTATGAGAAATACTCACTTTTTATGCCAAGTTGGAAATCACATTTTACAAGAATGTTGTGAGTAACTTTCTAGATCTCTATGGGTCTAGATCTTAAGTGGTGGGTATATGAGTATACAAGATGGTACCCTTCAAAGTTGGGTTGGGCTTCAATTTGAGCCCATGATAACTCAACCTTTTTTGGCCCCATCTTTGAGGAAACCAAAGTGTCAAAATCCATAGTTTCCTGATTAGTGGGGTCCATTGAAGCCCTCATTGAAAGAATTAAGAATTTATTTTATTATTTAGTTGATGCCAATTTATTATAGCATGTAAATACTCAGGTCAATTGGTGGCATGTTAGATTGTTTGACAGCACTAAGGTTTCAATATAGGGTAAATTTTACATGCTTAATTTAGTAGTTAGAGTAATTCAACATAAATATTTCTTTAAATATCTTTAAGTTATATAGATTCCCATTCATATAATCTGACATATATGGTGAACATTATGCACCAACTTTAGGATTGGTGTCGAAATGATTAAAAATGAATTACAAGCTTTTTATTAGAGAATTAGGTCAGCTCGATAAAAATTATGCAGAAAAATGTAACATATTTGTATGATTCACCATGTTGTAGAAAATATAATGTTTCTTTTAACCAAATAATTTATTAATACTCAAAGTAATATTTATTTTAACAATGACAAGTTCAATGTGAAGACAATAAAGAAAGTCACATAAATCTTCATGTTCTAGGAACTTTCAAAAAATATTAAATATGATATTCTAGATAAATTCTAAGTTACTAAAAATTTCACTATAAGATTTAGTAGCGTCCAACCTATTGACTGCTTGTAGTTATCAATTGATGTGGCTAACTTTATTTTTACATTGTGAATTGAAATTCTAACATGAAGTTCAAATTCAGCCATGTCTTTATTTTCTATAATACATTGGTGTGAATTATATAATTCAAATTTCTATGATTTTTAGGTGCAAGCCTATGAAAAATCAAGCCTCCACAAACTTTATGTTCTCTAATATATTTTTTCTCACATAATTTTTTGAAATAATTATCTAATACATTTTGAAAATCCATGAAGTTCTCATTAATCACCAAATAGACTATCTCACAATATTTAATAATATTAACATTATTACCCAAATTGTGAATATTCCTACTTGGAAGGTGAAAAAGTAATAAGATAAAGAGAGTACATAATAGAGAGGAGGGAAACTAGGCTATTGACAAAAACTACATTTGGTAAGTTATTTGATTATGTGAAATTAGTAATATAGAGGGAAAATAGGCCATTTGATAGAGTCATGACATGTCATAACTCATTCGATGTCCACAATGAGTCATTTTGACCCAATTTAAGCTAATTTATTCAAATTTAACCACATGACCTTGTCTCTATACAACTATGTCAATGATGACCTAGTCCTAAATTCTACAAAGACTTTTATTTTTTTTCATTTTAACATAGTTTAATTATCTGTCCATTAGCATCTAGCATCTAAAATAAATATAATAGAAAATACATTTAGTAGGGTTATAAACAAAGGCAATTTCATGAGACCATATAAGATTTAGGATTTTTTGAGTTGACTAAAATAATTAGGATTTTTGGATAGGAGAGAGTACAAGAAAAGAGATTGTTATTTCAACACACTAGAAGTTAAAGGTGCTAGACACAAAAGAGAGTAAGGATCTCAATGGACTAGGACCTCTAAGTGATTTAGAGTTTCTTTTAGCTTCTAGGTATAATCTTTCCATACTTGTCCCCAAATCAAAATTTGGTGAAATTTGTCGGTTAGATGTGAGAATCATTTTCAACCTAAATTTAAAGACATAACCATTAGCTAGGAGGTCAAATGTCCAACTTAGATTGGCCTCTTCCACACTAATAGGCAAATAAGTTCACTTATTTGATATTAAATTAAGTTTTAATGAGCTCATATGTGGAGTTGATAATCAGCTTTAAGGGTTATTAATTTCATCATTGAGTTGGGCAATGGCTGAGCATTACCAACAACCAATTTGCTGGGAAGGCTAAATAGGGCCTATGCCAAGAGTCAAAAACCAATTTTTTCTTGCCATGTAGATGCCATGTAGATGCCATGTAGATGCCATGTAGATGCCATGTAGATGCCATGTAGATTTCCTTATTTACAACCTTTTTTTTTGTAAAAAAATATAAAGCTTGTGGCCTAGAATCTCATAACCCTTTTTTTTCTTGATTGCTGACTACTCTACAATCATCAATGTGGCCCCGTGAGTATTTACATGCTATGATGGATCCCATCAACATAAATGGGCATCAATTAAATAATATAAATTAATTCTTGATTCTTCATTGGTGGACCCCACCACTGGATTCTGACCACTTCGTTTCCTCAAAGATGGGCCCCAAAAGGGTTTTGAGCTATGGTAGGCCTAACTTGAAGCCTGGCCCAACCTTATGGGGTTCCGGCTTGTATACCCATACCCGCCACGTAATACTCAGACCCGATAAAGATCCGGAAAGTCAGTTATAACTTTGGTTCACACTTTCGATGTCGGCCCATAGAGGCTTGCCGAGTCGGCCGGAATCTGAACCGTAGATTTGTAATCTATTCAATCTCCACCGTTACTTCGGCAGGGCCCCATCTGTGGCCGACATAGAAACGTGTGGATATTCTCCTCACGAATACGCACGTCTACGAAACGTCACCTCGGCAGCAATTACCACCCGCACCCCTTAATCTGCCATTTCTTACGAAATAACCAATGCATCCGATTGACCAATTTCCACCGTACGATCGGTCGGTTGACGTCGGCCTCCGATCTTATCAGAAGGATCGCGATCACGTGGCGGTGGGCTGGTGGTGAAGCATCTTGCACGTAACAATCCGGAGGTTAGATATTTTCGAGGCGCACGTGCGAACAAGTAGTTAAAAATGAGACTCGCCCCGTCTTCGGACAGGCCGCGCCCCGCTTCCCGCTCCAGAGAGACCATCCCATTTATAGTAATTTCTGTTTCCCATAAATGGGAAATAATGAATTATATGATATTTTAAGAATGCCACTTTCCTGCGTCGTTAAAGAAATCGAGGAAATAGCCGCCCCGTCGTCATCGCCAGCGCGCATGCGATTTATTTAATTAAATAATTTGACAATTACCCCCGCGAACATTTAATAAGTAATATAGACATCACCCGGAAAATATGTGGTATCCGTACGACCACTGCCCGACAAGGGGGGCTGGAGGCGGTGAGTGGACCGCCAAGGTGACCCTCCCCGGAAGCGGATTCCGCTTTTCGACCGATGGGGGAATCGAATTTGGGAGGCGGCGGTGAGACGAGATTCGATGGGGGGCACCGCCATCCGGTCATTAAATAATGGGAAAGCACGAGTGGTGGAGGCTGCGTAGACTTACCGCCTACCGCCCACCGCCCTACCACCTCTCATCCCTCACATCGTCTTCCTCCTGCCCCTCCCTCCCTGTTTCTTCAAATAGTAAGGAAATGGTGTCTAATCTGGTCGGTTCCTGTCCGTATATATGCCCTCCGGCAGCCCTCCTCTCTTCTGGGTCCTCTCTCGGCCTCCTCTGGAACTTGCCCTAACCCTAACCCTAACCCTGCCTCCTGTTTCTCGCCCCCCCTTCTCTCTCTCTCTCTCTCGGAGCTGCGACGGAGAAGATGAACCACTGCGCGGTCCAGCAGAGCGCGATGGCAGCCTACGAGGAGATGCGCAGACCCTTCGTCTCCATTGTCTCCGACCGGAGGGACCCCATCTTCTGCCCTAAGCCCGGCCGTCTGAGCCGCTTCGTCGCCGCCGCCGACGCCATTAGACCTCTCCGGTGGCATCTCGGGTGAGAACCGCCGGAATCCTCCTTCTCCGCCTCCCCCCCTTCTCTCTCTCTCTCTCTCTCTCTCTTCCCAAGAAAGATCTCTGACCGCTCTGCCGGATGCATCTTGCAGGCCTCAGACGGAGCCCTGTGATTCGAAACCCGGATCAGAAGTCTTGGATATCATCCTAACCAAGGTGTTAGATTTCTCCCTTGCGATATCTCTTTCTTCTTTTGATGATTCCCCAGATGGGTCTAGATTTTCTCGATCGGTTCTGATGGATAGATAGATCTCTTCTTCCTTTTCTTCTCCCCTGTTTTGCTTGAATCTGATGGATCTCCTTGGAACATCGCAGGGCGCCTTCTCCGACGCCGGCGAGGCCCTGGTGGGTTCGTCGCCGCCGTACTTCTGCGGCTCCCCGCCGAGCAGATCGACTAACCCCGTCGCCCTCGACGCCCGCTTCGGCGAGGCCGAGGCGGCGCCGCCATTAACCCTGCTGCCCACGCCGGCCGCCGCCACCGCGGTTTCGGGCGGCGCCGCCCGCACGGCGGCAGGCTGCGTCCGCGCTAAGTTCGGCCCCGTGCCCGCCGCCGTCCGCATCGAGGGCTTCGACTGCATCGACAGCGACGGCCACCGCCGGAGCCGCGGCATCGCCGCCGTCGCCTAGCCGCCGTTGCCGGTGCCTCCATATTACCAATCCAGGGCACTCACCGATTCGTCTTCAAGGAAGAGAAATCTGATCAGAGAGAGAGAGAGAGAGAGAGAGAGAGAGAGAGAAAGAGAGATGGTGGTGATTACTGTACATTCGTAGCATAGGATTTTGCAGGGTCCCTTCCAGATCAGAAGAAGAATTGGTCTGTAAAGAAAGCGTAGGATTTTGGAATAACGGGGACGGCGTGTCTGAATCTGCCACCCTTCCCTCTCCCCTTTGTACAATCTCATCCGAAAGAGCGGAGCTCATCCTGTTCTGGGTCTTCTTCCTCTTGTCCGGTTAGGTTTTGGGCCGCGACGGCGGCGGCGGGATGGAACCCCCCGCCGCCGTGGTGTGACCCGAGTAATCTGTCATACTTCCGTCTCCTGTAAATACTTCTGATCAATCGAAAGCTCTGTTTCGATGGGATTCATCCTCTGTGTATTCGTTCTTCTATCTCGCCCGCCGCTCGGCGTCGGAGGCGGCAGCGGCGAGGTGCCCGATTTGACCACGCGGCCGGCCGGCGGCCTTTCGGAAACCGCGCAGCCGGAGGAACTACGTCCCCTCGTTCCTGTGTGCACGTCGTAATATTCTTTATTTCTCCCCCCTTTGACCACAGATATTTACATTCCACAGGTCAATAAGAGAGAGAAAGAGAGAGAGAGAGAAAGATGAGAGAGAAGAGGGTAAGCGACGTTCTCAGTTATAAGGCGCCGAGCGTTGGTATTATCGGCAGTTGACCTTTCGAGTAATAACGCTATATTTTTTTGAGAAGAAAATCAACAGATATTGCATAGTTGAGGAAATTTCCAGACCGACTCTGACTTTTAGCTCCCGAGATTTGAAGGAGTCAACGAGCATCGGCTCTTTTCTAGATGTTTGAACGTGGGTTGGGGTGTTCATAGGGTCGGGTCGTGTTCAAGCGAGATAGAGAGAGAGAGAGATGGGTGGCTTCCTGGTGGGCCCATTTAAGCCAATCGAGCCGTTAGATCCGATCTGACGGTAGAGGAAACCGACCAAGTCAGGTCAAACTCGTGGACCATCTTGGACAAAGGTCAAACCCTCCACCAGGAATCTACTTCGAAAAAACTTTCACACAGAATTTTGAAAAAGGGTATAAATAAGGATTTTAATTTTTAGCCTATCCTGCCGACGTGGACGGGGGCGAGGAGCCACTCGTTGCGACCATTGACGACGGTGTGACGTGGTCGGCGTGTCCTTTTTGGCAACTGGAGGGTGGGCCCCACTGCCTTGCTGCCATCAATCCGCTCTGACGGGACGCCGCCGTCTAGACTGTCCATTCCCGTGGGCGGGCCGTTGCGGCGACAGGCGACCCACACTGGGATCGACGGTAGCGAAAGCTTCAGCGAAGCGGTCTGAGTCAGGGGCACGTCAGCATACCGTCAAGTCAATCTCGGATCGGATTCTCTTAACGGGCCTTTGGAACAAGGCCTTTGCATAAAAATTATAGAAGAAGATTTCTGTATATATATATATAATGTTTTTCGTGACTAGAGAGAAGCTTTTTATCGAGGTTGACCGGGAGCCCTGGCCATCAGTCAATGGAAGTGTCGGGAGGTTGACTTCTTCCAAGGTGGGCCCTCATTGGAGAATATACCGTAGGGAGCTGAGAGAGAGAGTCAGCCAGAGGATGAGTTGACCCTGAAAATGATTTTCTCAAATTGTGGCACACTTTTTAATACATCAGAAAGAAATAAAAATATATATTAAAATGTAAGTTTTAAAGTTTATAGAATTTTTAAATAAAATATTGAGACAATTTTAATCCATACTAAATTTAGGCGTCCTGATTGGATATGAAGTTAAATCATAATCTCGCGTAGCTTTTTCGATGATCAAACTCTGCTTGCGTCGACTGGTCTTCGCTCTGAACGTCAAACCGTTGAACAGGGATAATCTACGTGGGTCAAATTGTTGGTCGCCTCGTTGACCAAGGTTTGAACGGAAGGTGTAAAAGGTTACGCTTGAGTGTTTAGCTGGGGGAGGGGAGTGGGGAGGGATTCAGACTTGTGTCCTTCCCTCTACGAATGGCGAATCAACCCGAGCCCAGAGGAGCATCCACGACGTCAGGATCTAGCTCCAGTCCAGAGAAAATCTTGAAAATGGGCAGACCAGGTCCTCTCTGTACTTCATATGATAGAGAGATACAGAGAGAGAGAGAGAAAGAGAGAGAGAGGGGGGAGAGAGAGAGAGGGGGAGAGAGAGGGGGAGAGAGAGAGAGGAAGAGAGTGAGTGAGTGAGAGGGAAAGATAGAGAGAGGAAGAGAGTGTGTGTGTGAGAGAGAGAGAGAGGGAGAGAGAGGGAAAGATAGAGAGAGGAAGAGAGTGTGTGTGTGAGAGAGAGAGAGAGAGAGAGGGAGAGAGGGAAAGATAGAGAGAGGAAGAGAGTGTGTGAGAGAGAGAGGGAGAGAGAGGGAAAGATAAAGAGAGGAAGAGAGGAAGAGAGTGACAGAGAGAGGGAGAGAGAGAGAGAGAGAGGGAGATAGAGAGAGAGAGAGAGAGAGAGAGAGAGAGAGAGAGAGAGAGAGAGAGAGAGAGAGAGAGAGAGAGAGAGAGAGAAGAGATGATGATAGTCATGATTAATGAGCAATGGAGAAATGTGGGCAAAGCCCAAACATCGATCAGGGCCCGAACTCACCTGAGCCCAGAGGCCCAGAGGGCCCTGCCTTTTTTCGTCCACCCCACGAATATGAGCCAGCAGTATATATCGTTATATTGTATTTTTTCCATTTTTGAAAGGCTCGGCTGTTATCTATTTTATTTAAATTAAATAATTATAGAGTTTCTTTTCCCTGGGCTAGCCTGGAAAAGGATTCAAGAGTTGAATATATCCATAATGGCCCAATAAGTAGGTGGGCCGGTCTAGGAGACCATACTATCAGACTCATATCTCACACTCGGCATCTATCCTACATAATTTATTTATTGTTTAATTTTTTTTTATAAATCAGGTTTAGCATCCTAATATATTTTTATTTTTCATCTTAGACCCTTGAAGTTTGGAATTTGTCCCTCAAGTCTACTTTTGTTAGGAGCAGGATTAACGGTTCACGGAATTTGACTGTTAGGGCAAAAATTGAGGAGAGGAGTATCGGGGCCTTCTTCCTCCTTGCTCCGACGACGACCTTGAGCTCTTGACTGAAGAGAACGGGGGAGGATGGTTCGCCCCTACGCCGCCAAATGGCTCAAGAAGAGGCGGAAGAGAGATCCCTCGGCCGCTGCGTCCGACGCTGAAGACGGGAAGGGTGGAAATGGAGAAGATGCCGAAGACCAGACGGAAGAGGAGGTCGAAGAGAAGAAGAGGAAGAAGAAGCAGGAGGGAGAGCGAGGAGCGGGCGTTGTGGCCGAGGGGAGAGAGGAGGAGAGCCCTAATGGGTCCCTCCCTGCTCATGTCCTTCCCGGGCTTCCTCTTGAGAAGACCCCCGACGAGGAAGCGAAGCCAGGGGTCATATTCATTCTGGAGAAGGCCTCCCTAAATGTCGGGAAAGTAGGAAAGGTGCTCACAATTTCGACTCTCTATTTGTATTGATGTCAAACTCGCCAGATTTCCCCCCGCGATGCCGTTGCTTGATGCTCAGGATTTAGGGGTTTTTTCCTGCATGGTTCTTCCGCTGGTGAAATTTGATTATGTGACATCGCTCATAAACCCTGAATTCGGAGCGTCTCTTGCTCGTCGCAGAAAGAAAATATTCTGAACGCGGATGACCACGCCAATTACTTGAGGAAGCAGTGCAGAGATCCCGCTGAATTTCGGCCTGATATATTGCACCAGGTTTGTTTGTTGATTATTTTGCTTGGCGAGTACGTCTCCAGACGCAGTCGCTTCAAGGTTGTGACTAGATTGTCTTCCTGGGCTTGATTTGGTCGTTGACTTTTGTTGCCTATGCGACCCTTTTTACAGGCGATGCTTGCCATATTGGATAGTCCTCTCAACAAGGCCGGAAGGTTGCAAGGCCTGTACGTGAAGTCTGACGATGGGGAGCTCATCGACGTCAAGCCCCATGTCCGCCTGCCACGAACATTCAAGCGGTTTTGCGGCCTCATGTGTAAGTCAAACCACAGCCGGCAGGATCATATCTTGTAGAGATTGATGCATCTTCTTCTTTCTTATTCATCTAGTCTTTCTGTGCATAATAATCTCATCCGAATTCTGTGGTTGCAGATCAGTTGAAGTGTAAGAAGAACATACACGCAACTGGTAATCGGGAGAAACTCTTTCGGATGATCAAGAACCCGGTCACTCAGCATCTACCCGTCAATTCCAGGAAAATAGGTGAGATGATGTGGTCAACGCCGTTCTAAGCCAGGTGGGGCTTGAGAAGCCTAGACCCACCAACCTATCCCCTCTCTGAGCCAGACTGAGTCGGGCCTGTTTTCTCTTTCTGGGCTTGCTCTTCTCATCTGTGCCTGGAAAACTTGGGCTGGACTTCTTGGCTTGGCCTCCTGCGGCAATCTCGCGGAAAACATAGCTAATGCCAGGTGCTCTGTTGCCAATGCAGGTTTTTCTTATAGCTCGGACAAATTAGTGCATCTAAGGGACTATGTCGCTGCAGTGGGCGATGATGCTACCCTTGTCTTTGTGGTATGTTGAGATTTGAACTATAGTGTTTATCTTTATTCCATCTGGTTTTATTTGGTTGTATGTCTGATTCCGCTCATTTTGAGATTCTGACTACAGTTTATATATCTTTGTTCCACAAGATATTATCCGAAGATATCTCTGATTTTGTTCATGTTAACTTTCTGACTCTACTCATGTGGTATTAACGGGCTGCATCTCTGATTCGGCCAACGTTGAGATTCTGGCTACAGTATATATATACATATATATATATCGTTATTTTATATGTATATTATTGGGCTAGGTCTCTGATTTGGCTGAGTCCTATGATACATCACCAGGTTGGAGCTATGGCCCATGGGAAAATTGATGCGGATTACACGGATGACTGTATATCAGGTGATTTGCATCCAAGTCAACCCACCACGTTCTTCTTTTTTTCTTGATAAATTCTGTTTATCAGGAAAAAAAACCATGTTCATGTAAGAACTTCCTCTGGCATAGAGGTTTATTTTCCTAACATGGAATGCTTGGTTAATCTGGCGTGGGCTACCACGTTCTCCTCCTTATAGAGTTTTTTTTTTTTTTGGCTACTTTTAGTGAAAAAATCGGCAAGTTTCTAATTTATCTTGATATAAAAAAAATTCACTTTCTATCTAATTTTCCGAGCTCTATTTTTCGGTCATGTGGAATAAGAAATCAATCGTGCTGGCATATTGAAAGGATCAAGCCAATCCTTCTTCCTATGAAAGTTTGTTCGTTTACTCTTACCAAGAAAAAATCAATGGGAGTCTATTTTATATTGTTATGAAAAAAATATTTAATGTTTCTTTTGACTTGATGCTCCAGTTTTTGATGGAATCTGGTGAGATGCTGAGATAATCTATCCTTTATAAATTCTTTTATCTGGTATCTTTCTTGTGAGAAAATATTGATGAACATGTAATTTATTTTGTTATAAAAAGCATTTAGAGCACCTTTTGACTCAATTTTGATTGGATTCTTTGAGATTCAAGCATGACCCATTTTAGCAAGAAAATATTGACGATCATATAGTTTTTTGGAATATATATATATATTCAGACCGTTTTTGGCTTAGATCCAGTGAGTTCCTGGCCTCATCTATCTCCATCCCTGCTGCAGTCTCAAACTACCCGCTGAGTGCTGCATGCTGCATAGCCCGGATCTGTAATGTGCTGGAGCAGAGGTGGAACATCCTATGACGAGCTGCTTCAGTCAAAATCATGTCCTAGCAGCAGTAACCTGTCCCGGCGGTGCAGTTTAGGTTAGTCCTCCCTTCCTGCAGTTTTGGTCAGTCCTCCATGTCGGAGGTTGACCTTTTCTGATCTAAATATTCTGCCCTCTCATTCATTATTTTCCACCCAATCAGCGTTGACCTTTTGTTTGATTTTTTCACAGATTATATGACGATTCTCTACTTGGGGAAAGGTAGGTGGGCAGTACGGCTCCAGCTCTTTGGGAATTTACACTAGTGAATTCTGTTGACCTCCCCATGTAGACCATTTTTGAGGTGAAACAAATGCTATATATTTATCTCTCTCTCTCTCTCTCTCTCTCTCTCTCTCTCTCTCTCTCTCTCTCTCTCCTGTCCCTCCCTCCCTCCCCTCAGCCCAAGAGTATTCTATGATTCCCGTCTGAGAAGGCTTTGGGTCTGACCCCAAGGAAGCCCAAGTTGGCCCAAGGAAGCCCTCAATGTTCCATTATCTGATAGGAGGAGAGCTGATTGGAATTTCTGAAGAACAGTTTTTTAATTTGTCTGATGGTGTGATTTTATATCGATTCCCGTCACCACTGAATCTGTCGTATTTTATGAAAATTTAATTGAGTTAATATAAAATTTAAATGTTTATATACTCTGGGTAGATATTTATATGGTTTAGATGGGCAGCTGAATGTTAAGCTAAGGTAATCTATAGGGATTTAAGCCTAATGTCAACACATATGAGGCATCACTGGTAATTAAATGGCTTTGTGTCCACTAAAGATTAATGTGATAGTTTAATTGTGGGAAATCCCATTATTTTCTTATTTTGATACCCGGGAAATTGGAAATGTATTAGCTAATTTTTAACTGATTAAATGGGGTAATAGCGTATGAACAGCTCTATCTCTAGTGTAATATGCCATGCAAAATACATAGCATGCTGATTGATTATTGACGAGATTTGCAAACCGCGGAAGGAACGCCATGTTAACGTGAGTATGAGGATTATCAGGACAGCTCTTCGAGATGCTTCACGTTTCACCCCTCGATCGCTTCCTAAATTTGGTTTTCGCGAGCGCTGTCGGATAAAACCTGAATAATCCGACGCGTTGATCTCGAGGTCCAGAGTCAACGCACATCTCTCGGGGATGGGCACGCAACGGTGTGGCGGTCTGACATCACCGCCCTTCTCTCACAGCTGATCTCACAAAAGCCCGAGAAGCCGACATCTAGTTCGAATAGGTGTGGAAAGACTGAATACCACAAGGCGGCCGCCGCCGTGCAACTGGCGACGGACTAGGACTACACCAGCGGCGGAGAAACAAATAGGGGCACGTCTCCCGTCGATTCTCCGCAGAGACTTTTTGCGCGCTGTTCTCACCAAGATTTCTTGCGCCGATTTGTGGGGAGCCGGAGAAGACGATGAAAGGAGAAGCGGTGAAGGGCTCCTCCCCCTCGACTCCAAGTGATGAGGAGAAGGATATGGGGAGAAAGATGGAGGCGTTCTTCGCGTTGTTGGAGAGCATCAGGGAAATGAGAAAGCGGAGTCCAGTGGGAAGCGGCGAGCCGAGGAAGAAGGCCAAGGTAGGGGGCTCGGTGTGGACACCGACTTTCCAGTGGGAGGACTTCGCCAGCGCTGCGGATTCCGGAAATTGGAAGGGCTCCAATCCATCCGTGGGCATCGGCCAGGGGAAGGAGGAGAAGGAAGACGAAGGCCCATGGGGGTGGGGGGGTCGGGCAAGGACTTTCCTGCGGGTATTGACGAGTGAGAATGAATCATTAATCTACAGTCAGAGCCCTGTCCATGATGAGCTTTGCTGGAGAGACCGTAACATTTCTCTACCGATCTCGCTTTGTAGCTACGAGTCATTTGAGCTCCAATATCATGATATGCGATTATGTCGCCTTGCAAGATGTATCTGAGGAAACAATTTCTTGGCCTGACATAGAATCCACGTACGGATTTACCAGAAAAAATGTTAACACTGGTTATTTTTACTTGGCTATTGAGATTTTGAAGTCAAGTATCATGCATGTTAAAAATATAAAAACATAACTACATTATCAAAATAATTATAAAAACTCATAGGATAACGATGCCGGCAAGCCTCATAAAACAATGAGGCTCTTGCAACAATCAAGCTAATAACCATATAGATATATTTTTAGTATGCTATATCCTTTTGCCCAAAACGTGAAGTTGAGAGATATGGTTGATAACTATGATACTTTGTCTTCAGTGTTTCTGGACACATGACTGTAGCTTACATTTTGGAAACATTTTACTTTCATTTTGTAATTTTGTAGTGGTAACATTTCAAGGAAATAATTTAATTGCTCAAAGGCAGCAATCCTCAAGATTAACTTTGAATGAATTTTTTTTAGACTTTTATAATACATATAAATGGGAAAAAAGACTACTATGAATACACTTCTTGAAGACTAAACTAACTACCTATTGAGGAGTTGGTGAGCAATGACTATTACAAATAATGGATATTTGAATGAAAAAAAGTAAAGCATATGATGTGGTTGTTCAAAGAAAAAATGAAAAGTTGTATGATGAAAAGAGAGAAAGGTAGATGTACAATGATCATAATGAGATCATTGTCTAGGTACAATGAGGGCTTTCTTATCCTTTCTGATGATGGGTGGGAGGGGTCATCCTTATGTTGAGAGCAAAGAAGATGCCTTCCCATCCTTGCATGTTATAGAGTTATTGGGCCTGTTTTAGAGGGAATTGATTACCCTTCGGCTAAGGTCTTCTTATTAGGAAGGAGGGGCCTTTGTACTTTCAAAATTTTGAAACTTTTTTTTAATTTATAAAATAAATTAATGCAGAATATTTGTGTAATGGTTAATTTTTCATATTTTTGATAATTTCATGTGAGGGATAAAATTGTATGATATCATGTGACTTCCATACATGTTATTTATTGGTTAAATTCCATGTAAATCTGGGTCCAAATTTTGAACGGTCAAAGGTGTTGATTTTTGAACATATTTGACACTAGTGACGTATCTTTGGTTTAAATATGCATTCAAAAAGTGTCTTCCTATCATCATATAACATCTATTGCCTTTTCATAGAAAACCTAAGGCCCTAAGTATTTTTACAGTTACCGACTATAGTCAATCAATTTATCCTACTATGAGTTAGTGACAAGACAACCATATCGAGTAAATGAAACATTTTTTTTTGGTAAATTTCAGACTCTGAAAAGGAGATGGTTACTATTTCTTCATCAACTTTAAATGCTTTTCAGTGATAAACTAAAGGACAAATTGTTTATGTTCTTACAGTCAAAAAATATTTGATCATATTTGGATAAGGTATGATAAGATAATGGGATGAAGGTATTTCCATTGATATCGCAAATTTCAACATTCCACTTGGTTTGGAAACTATTTGAAGCAATTTCGAAATGCAGTCCCATAATTGTTCAAGAAGAGTACACTTGATCAAGGGGGGGGCCAGTCTACTCCATGAGGTTGAAGGCCCCATCTACTTATAGGGAAGAACTCCCTCATGACTTTTTAACCTCTAAGGCTAACATGCCTTGATGTTTGATTTGACAGCTTGACGATGTGGACACAAAGGAAAAGGACACTAACCATCGTTCTATTCGCAAGACCACCGCACACGTTGTCATGGATTGTCGTGCAGTCTCCATACCAGTAGTAGTTCTACACTTGAAACATTGTTCTCCAAGTGTGGGGTGTCACACGAGAAATTCAATTCCCCTTTGGCATCTTGCTTTGGGGCGAGGTCAGCTTTATCCTCCTCACCCCCATTACACCTGATATTCAATTCCCCTTTGGCATCTTGCTTAGCCTACCCCTGTAGACTAAGTTCCCTATAAACCTAGCCATCCCTTGTCCATGACACCCATCTAGGGTAAGAGAGGATGACTCCTCAAGCATCCTTGAGGCCCAGATTGGGGCTGCTAGAGGTGGTAAATTTTTTAAAAGGGGCGTTCTTCAGTTCGCAAGCTCCTTCCGGATATTTTAGTATGATTCATAGCTTCATAATTATGTGAAGTGATGATTATCAGAAGATAGGTTCTACTTGTTATCCTCTTGACGGCGGGTGGGTGTAATTAGTCGGTTTATTCATAAATCCCGTAAATGGGAGATTGTAGAGTATTTCTCATAGCCAATAGTTTTCAAAAGTTTTAATTTCTTTATAAATAAAACCTGATGATTGGAATCCATGTTGATTACCCCTCCCTCCCCTTATTTCCGTACAAATACAATAATGCCTCGTGTAAAGTTTGTGAAAAGTATCGCCTTTGACGATAATAATAACAATCACGTTTGTCATAGCCGGCACGCGCCTAAATCACGTGACATCGTGATGCTCTATCGATGTGATGACATCATCCTACGTCATCAATGACGAACATCTGCGTCATGAGTGACGCCTGCCTATTGCGATCGAATTTTTCGGGTCTTATTTTTATCCCTGATGGATGGATTCTAGAAACCAACTTGGGAACATAAACTGTGGGGGAGGGAGAAGCGGACAAGGAGTCCGTGGCGGTGACGATCGCCCGCCGACGTCACGGTACGACCCTGGCTGACGGCGGCGCTGCCGTCCTCGGACACCCGTCATCCGGCGGAGGCTCGAGCTGCCGACTAATTGACGTGTCGGCAATACGCTGGCCCCCCCCAGGAAGCGACGAAATGATAAATAGCGAGGCGTCCGTTGCGGCCGGAGAACGGTTCAGCTCGCCGCCGTTGCCTGGTCTCTGAGAAAATGGAGGGAGAGAGAGAGAGGGAGGGGAAGAGGAAGAGCCCAGAAGGACCCCCGCCAATCTGTCCAAGCCATGGTGAGGGGGAGGAGGAGGAGACGGTGAAGAGGTTCTGCGAGCTGCTGGAGAGCGTCAGGGAAATTAGAAGGCGGAGTTCCTTGGGCGGCTGCGAGCGACGGAAGAGCCCCCAGGCGAAGGCTCCAGCGTGGACGCCAGTGTTCCAGTGGGAGGACTTCGCCGGCAAGCCGGCCTCCCGCGGGGGGAAGGACCTCGTCGCCGCGTCGCCGGGCGTCACCGCCGGCGGCCAGCGAGAGGAGGAGAACAGGGCGGAAGACGACGGCTCCGGTCTGGACCTCCGGCTCGCGCTGTAGTACTTAAACTCTAGGAGCATTAACAGCCTAAAACATGGCCAACGGAAGAAGTAGCATCGCTGTCCAGGCCCGGCCCCCCTTCTCCACGCTGAGGTTTCCTGTATTAGACATGTAGGTCTCTAATGGTCTTCCTGCTTGTCATCTGCGGCTACCTGCATTTTCCGAGCATTCGGAACGAGTGGAAGCAGAAGGTAGCCTCGGGCAGAGGGACTTCTCTTTTTTTATGGTATCTCTTCAATTTCGGAAGAGTATACGGACGAATTCGAGTGATCAAATGACACCACAGCGACCGGAAAACTGTAACACTTTATGAATTTACCAGAGTTTCACTGCAGAGGATTGATTGCCCGCCTCTTTCATCTAGGAAGGGCCGCCTGCATAATTTCTTGAAAATCACTTCTTCTGAATGAGAATGAATGTCAAGATAAGAAAATTAAAATTTTGGGGTTGCTTGATTTTTGCCCAACGTAGGGAAAGTCTCCATATTTGATACATCAGGGATAATCTCGAACAAATCCTCAACTATTGGCGATAATCCTCGGTTTAAATAAAGATTAAAAAGGTATAAAATACGTCCTTTTTCTCTTAACGATTGGTAAACACCGCTTCTTTACACTTTTAGATGGACATCTTTACTGAAAATGTCGTGATTTCTTGTTCCTCGAGGCGAGGGCCTGCCCTGGCCAGTCTATACCGGGGGGGGGGGGTGGGGGGTCTAGAGTGTTCGAGATGCCACCATTTTACGTCGTTTAATATATTTTTAGCGGGTCAGATTAGATATCTCCACTGGTGAACTGTGTGGGATAGGATTCAAAGATGGAACCAAGAGACCATTTCAACGCTTTCTTTTGGGTGCAGCGTCTACCCCATCCCTCGTACGTCATGGTCTATGATTTCTTGATGACGTCAATGTAGCTGATCGTATACAAGAAATCAACGTCAGAGCTGACGTCGATGATATCCTTGCCGGATGGTACGCGCGATAGGAGCTGTCGTTGTCGTCATAGCAGAGTTTACTCCAGCCGAACAGTTGTCGTCCTTGCGACCCCGTACAGATAAGAGAAATGGAAGGACTTCTACTTGTATCACTTTTCCTCGGAAAACTTAATTTTGTTCTTGACCTGACGACGTAATTTTAATGGGGAGAGTAGGTCTAAGATTTCCATGAATAGCTCGAATTATGAGCAAAGTTCTTTGCCGTTTATCACTGTAATTTGAATGTCCCCAGAATCTTGTATGCCTTGGGATGTAGTCCATCGGTAAAGATAAAGTATTATCTCTCTACTTTCATTGAGCCTGCCAATCGGCGGTGGCCGTCAGCCCTTTATCTCTCTTCACTCTCTTTTTCCCTTGTCTGGCAAGGGTACGGTGATGGGGAAATAGCACTGATTGACCCGATGAGGAGAGAGGCACAGAGAACCATAGACAGAAAAATAGGTTCATAGAGAGAAAGCCACAGAGAGAAAGGGGAGAGAGGTTTAGAGGGTGAGCGAGAAGATTAGAGAGAGAGAGAGAGAGAGGGAGATACAGAGAGAGAGAGAGAGAGAGAAGTGGCCCCTCTCCCTGAACCTATTACCTATGTTGTCTGTCACCTGTCCACCACCACCGCCATTGGGCTAACGAAGGGAAAGAGGAGAAATAATTAGGATAGTTTAGTCTTTTTTGTAAAAGCTTAGATTTTAAATTTAGTTGCTTACACGAGGAGATAAAATAGTCGAATTTTGTATATTTCTAAAAGCGTATCGATATAAGTGGAAAGATGAACTGTCCGTCCATAATTTATTCCGTTTATGGGAAGCTAAAAGCAAGTTACCATATTCAAGTATGTACCCTGGTTTATAAAATTTTGCTTGTAACCCTTTTTGAATGTTTTGCCTTCCTAGGAATCGGTTAATAGCATAGATCAAATTTGGATCAGAAATGGATTGGACATGCAAGTGGAATAGGGAGAAGATGAATATTGGGATAGATATATATCATAATAAGATGGGTAAATATTTACGTGTTGATAATGTTGCGTAAATATGAGGAAAAATAAAATGAGATCCCTTTCAATATTGAAACTGGACCCAGTTATTATAAAAGATAAAAGCTGTCTGATGATAATGATTTGAAAATATGATCACGATTACCATAGAAACTTAATGGTACAGCTCAAAGTTCTAAAACTAAAATGCCCACGAGAAAGGAAAATGCCCTATTAAATTAGAAAACTGGATGTAATGATTAAATTCTCCTAATTCTATCTTTCTCCATTCAGTTCTTTTCTATCATTTGAGTTTCAATTAACATTATACCGGCCTTGGATGACATCCATGACTGTTGCAAGTAGGGTTAGGTTTGCGAAAGGAGACAATTCATGGAGAGACTCAATTCAGCTTCTTACAAGAGGAAATGCATAAATAATATTGCAAAGTCCATCAATTTTTAAGTTTATTTTATGATGGCTTTAAGAGGATAAGACGTATTTCAACATCTCTTCCCGAAATTCATAACAGTCTACGGGTGTTGATGGTGGCGAAGAGTGTATGCGTTCTTCTTCTTCAAACCCGTGCTGCGAACCAACGGTCGAGAAAATTTCGACTTCGATCATGGAAGTGGTTTTGATTGGGAGGCGCTGACATAAGAAATGAGGAGATGCGTTGGAGGGCAGAATGTCTCCCAGATCGTAGATTCCCTCCTATTTGATTGGGAGATCCTGATTCAAAATCTTCATCAAGTGGAAACTTTAAGGCCAGTCAAAGCGGTGTGTAACCACCTCAAGGCTAAATTTTGATTCACGCTAGAAGCTTTATAATGGGAATGCCCTGTAAAATTTGTACGGCGGATTATGACTTTTCACTTTGTTTATTGACTTTTTTTACCACTTGTTCAATATCCACGGGCCTTAATGCCGTAAAAGAAAACTATTGTGGGATTCTTTGACGTGAAAATATGTACACAGATTTTAAAACTGAGAACGGGACGACCTCCAACCATGAATGCGCGTTCGTTTCTCGAAATAGAAGGAGCTGAAACCGCTGCGGGTGGCGCCGGATATCATTAAATACCGGACCGAAGGCGGAGCTTCTCGGGGACGTGAAGGGAGGAAGGCACGTTTCCCTCCGGCTCTCTCTGGGTACGCATGTGGGTTGCAGCAGTTACCCCCTTTATATATGGGAATAGGGGAGAAGGTTTCCGTGGGGTGAGAGAGAAGGCGGTCGAAGGAGGAGGGATGGGGAAGAGGAAGACGCCCGAGAACGCGCCCCCAGCAGGCCGAAGGGATCCGGAAGAGAAGCAGGACGGGAACGAGGAGGGGAAGATGGAGGAGTTCTTCCAGCTTCTGGAGAGGGTCAGGGAAATGAGAAAGCTTTGCTCCACCGGCGGCAGCGAGAGGAGGAAGGAGCTGACCTTCCAGTGGGAAGACTTCGCCGGCGCGGCGGCACCCGGTCACAAGAGCCCTCTCAAAGGCACGCCGGCGGGCACGCGCCGAATAATAAAGGAGACGAAGGAAGAAGGAGGAGGGTCGAGCCTGGACCTCCGACTAAGCTTGTAAGTGGAGTCGGAATGAAGGGAAGAGCACTTTTCGTGACATTGAAGCTAAGTTTCCTAACTAAGAAACTCTCCATGCTAAGGTTCATAGAATTATCCATGAACGTTTGTCCTTCAACCATACTTTATTTAGATTGTTATAAATCATGTGCCGTCCTCGGCCATAACTCCGACGCCGAGCATCCTTTGCCCATGTGAAAGCACGCTTTGGCACAAGAGGCGTGCATTCTTCTCCCTTTGAAGTATACTTGCGGTGATTCGAGTTACTCAGAGGATGTGGTGCTCTCCATAGCTTCTCCAAATTAGCCCGCGGGCGTGCCTAATGAGAAGTTTTGTAGCCTTAGTTTCCATCTCCGACATCTCTCCCAAATCCAGAAAGCTGACGCGGCAATGCTCCGTCTTTCCGCATGTGCCACGTGTGTGCTGCGCGGCGCCTTCTTCAAGCTACGTTTATCCGAGACATTCTCAGAACGCATTATTTCATATTTTTTTGATGAAAGATGAGCGTCATTTGATCACTTTTTATAACGACATCAAGGCCGTTTGCATGCAATAATTTAATGATTATATAATCATTTTTCTCATTCTTTCAATCTCTCTCTTTCGTTTACTCATCTTTTAATATCTAATAATGATGATCATGCCCATTTGATAATTAATTTTAGTTAATCATTCACTTTGCATGAATCAAAACGGATATAACCACCGTCGTATCCTTGGATCGATTAAGGATTATGCACACCATTTTAATCTGATAGGCATTTCCATCTCATTTTCTCCCCACTTATTACTTCAAATTTGTCACAGAAGCAATGTGATTTGAATTGAAGGTCAATCCAAATCTGATTTATTCCTTTTTGGCTATCTCAGCAGATAAAATAGCCACTAAAGCAATGCTGACTTCCTCTGAACATCCATTCATTACTGTCCAAATCGTTAAGTATTTTCAAATTTGTAAGGGTGAATATTAATTGAATGAATTTATTATCGTATAGATGCATAAACGTCCCTCACCCACCTCGCGGGTTAGATTCAAATGTGGGTGCTGGACGTTCAGATACTTTCAAGTTGTTTTGGTCAATCACACGTGTTATCTGTCGTCACCCACTACGTCAGGGTGCCCGAGCTGCCCTTCAGGGCTGCCTCCATCACGGCTGACGTCAGGACGGTCCAATAAACTCGACTTGAGCCTTCTAGAAAGGTGGTGAGGCACGTGGCTTCTTTCTAGAAAGATTCTACGAGACCCATGCGGCCGCCAGCGGATTGAACGTGGTGCCATGAAAGAGGCTCTTTCAGCAGGCGGAGAGAGAAAGACCTCAACGGTGCTTGGAGAGCTTCAGAGACATGTGAAATCCGAGTCCCATGGGCGGCCGCCCGCTGAGGAAGATATCAGGTGGAGGGTTTGGGATGGACGCTGATGCTTGGAGGATTTCCTCTCCATAAAGGGTTATGTTTAACCTAATTTCGTGTTTATTATTGTAGAAGAACTTTGTTATTATAAATCTCGGCTTTTTAATTTATAATTTTAACCTTTTTTCAAGCTGATAGATCAATTAATTTTAACATAGTTTCAATCTAAACAGTCATTACTGGGATGCTCATATCATCTTTATGATGTACATGAGAGAATTTTCAAACACTGCTATCTATTGATTATTATAAACATAAACATGTGAGTAAAAGACATGCGGTTATTCCACATAATCAATTAATTTTTGAGGTAATAACCTAAACAACATAGAGGAGCATTGAGTTCAGTCATACCCTTTGCTGGTCATTATAATATGTAGATTGTGAAGGTCACATTGAACATTAACTTAAGAAAGGTGATATGCTTTTCCTTCATCTGATCAGATACCAGTTTACATCGTAATTGGGTAATAAATTCCTAGCGTTTGAGTCATACATTTATTACCTTTTGTCAATGTTATTGCTCATTTTCTATAAAAGTCAACTCACATTTAAAGTAAACGAATAAAAATAAAATTCATTTCATTATTAGTTTTAATAAAATTTCAAACAAGAAAAACGAACTCATTTGGATTTCAATGAAGTCAAGATAACCAAAAACGTTGAAGAGAAAACCCATATATTTTGTTGCAGTTGAAATACATTTCCCTTTGGTCTCCACCTTGTTAAACTTATAATGGGAGATGTTTTTGAGAATTTTTAAAGTATCAATTATTAGAAATGAGCATCTAAAAACAAGTGGAATGATGAGATATCAATCATAGGAACAACAACAACACAATTAGCATTGATGTAAATTACAAGATAAACCAAAGTCAATTATAGTTGTAAAACTAATATTTTTTTGTGACATCCTAAAGAAATTATATGATTCCTAGCAATAGAGGGACCAAGCTATAAATTCTCCTAGGTCACATGTTTGAATAATTACAAAATAAAATGGCCAATATAATTTATTTCCAATTTCTCAATTGATTAAAAACCTTATTGTATATATGGTTTTAAAATAGAATTTCTATATTATATTGTTGTGTGCATCTCACAAAGATACAAGAATTATGGGATTTAAAGAGAGAGCACACTTTTCTTCGTGTTCTTAATGCCCCTGAACAAGTTGGTGAAAATTTCCCCCATTAATGTGACAACATAAAATACGAATGAAAATTAAGTAAGATGATACAAGGAATCATAAATTCTTGTTGTAATCATAAGCAATATAAGGTGGATATTTAGCACCCTTGGGATATTGTTGAGTTGGAACAAATACTGAATTCCCATTTCAAGCCAACGAATTATAATGGCCCATGAACTTAAACTAGAAAAGATAAAATAAATAAACTAAAATATTCTTTTTGTCAAAAGTTATGAGTTGACTACCTCTAGTACGCACGAAAAAGGTCCATCTTCCAATCTTATAAGGAAACAATATCAGCCTTCTTTGACCTGCTAAAACAAAAAGAAATTTAATACAACCAATTGTCTTTCTTGAATGATATAAACATACAATCAGGCAAAGTGCACAGCTCTTGTGATTTACAAGCCCTTGAAGAATAATAAACTATAGGTAATAAGAAGCAAAACCATGAGACAATTGATATTGCAGTACCATTGAACCCATATCCATGTATTGTGCCCTTCTTGGATTCATTTTCACCTAGTCAAGCATCCCCAAGGACATTTTATCTTATGTACCTGGAGAGATGGAGCCTATGGAGGAGAAATCTGAAAATTGTTCAGTTTTTCATCTGATTCTCAAGCTAGTGGGAATCTCAAGTTTATGTGTTAATGGCGCCTTTAAGCATCTTGAAATGTTTTTTTTTCTGGGTGCATTGACAGCAGCTAAGAACTTCTCATATGTGCCTAATATTCACTTCGAGTGATATCCCAAAATATTTATGCACTCATACCAATAATGAACTAAAATTAACGCTTCATAATTAAAAATTGAATATTATTTAAGAGGTATAAACATAATTGATTGCATGTAAACAATATTTAGGCACTCATACCAAGACATTTTATTAACCCTTCACAAAGTTCGTGAGGACTTGGAAATTGATTGCATGTAGAATTGTCTCTCATAATGTGTGACGGTTAGTGCAATCTCCTGGAGTTTTTATGTGATCAAAATACATACGTTTGGCATGAGATAACATATGTTTCGTCAGTTATTGGTGTGTTGACCAAATAAGTAAGAAAATCAGTGGAAGCTCATACTTGATATATCTTATTCTGTGCCTTCAATGCTGTGTACTCCTCTCATTCTTTTTTTTTTTTTTTTTTTTTTATACCATTTAGCATATTACAATTGACAGATATTTATGAAAAAAGCTATGGTTAAATCAAATATATAAATAAATGTAGACTCCCAGTGTATCATGGTTTTTAATAAATCATCAAAATGACAGATCTTTCAGAAAAGTGTTGAATCATCGCCAACTTTCAAGAGATTCTATAAAGGCTACTAGTGTAAACTGATTAGAAAGTCTTTGAAGCAGCTTGATGACGAGGAGAAGATTGACAAAAAAAAAACCAGACATGGAAGCATATATATAATAAAAACAGACGTACCCTTCAATCCAGGAAGAACTCCGTCTGCTGAGAGGCGGTGGAAGAAGAAAGAAGGACAGGGCGAAGTGCCCGGATCTACTGCTGCCCCGGCGAGTCCCAGCAATGCGGAGGTAGAGGAGCAAAAGATGGCGAGGCTCTCACGAGAAAGAGGATGAAGCCCAGAGTCGGGGATTCGCTGTGGACGCCGACGTTCCAGCTGCAGGAAGGAACGTAGCGGAGAGCTTCAATTCAACGCTGGTCTTCGAAGCACTGGCTCTTCCACAAGTGCCATTCCCAGATATATGAAGCAGCTCCATCAACTCTATCACTTTTCACGAGTGATTACCTGTGGAACAGCTTTGACTTGTACTGTTTATCCATCAGCAGGCAAAGGTTTCATGAAACTCATATCAAAGAATCATAAACTGATGTGACGAAGCGTCAGGATAATCGATGTCTTCGGAGTGGGGTTTCTGTCGATCTGCGTCACTGAATCAGTAGATATGATGGAAAATAATATCACATGATTATGAACATCTAGCCAAGATCTTCAGTACATGTCGTTATGGATACCTGGATTGTTAAGTTTACGACTTCTCTCTGGCTGGTTCAAAGAATTTTGGCCCTGTGAAGAAAGTCCTGCTGGGTGATGGACAGATGAGAAGCTGATGCAGAGAGAAATGGAACAATCTTATTTCAGTATAATATTTCACTGTAATGTCACAACTGGAGGAGAGCCGACACGAGGCCTCTCTGCACAGGGAAAATTGAAGATACTACCATGGGTGATTACATTCACCATTCAGAACCATTACCATGCTACTAGATTTCAATGAAGAATAATGTACAATGGCTGAATCCGTGAGGAATCAGTGGAAGCTGATAGATTTACTGTAGCTACGCTCTATATTGTGGGTCCTAGGATGATGGGCAAGCGAGGAGATGGACTTAGCCTAGGCTGTTGTTATTCCTTGTTGAATCTCTCCGAGATAATGGGACGGACATCGTCTACATCGACCAGTGTCTCCAGGAATGGGAGCAGGGAAATCAATGCACAGTCTGACGGATCGTCAAACCAGCTCTCGATCGGTATTCCGTTATTCACTTGCAGCCGGAAAACCTGAAATTATCGAGAACAAAAGGAAGGAAAATGCGTGAGGAGGATGCCCGTGATGACCATCATCAGTTGCCGTGAAGCATAGGTTGTCAATCATTATTCAACATGGAATCAAAAAAGAAAGAGGCAGATTGAAGTTCTTCGGAAAAGTTTTGTTTTTCCTTGAGTGAATCAAGAGGAGGGCAGCACGGTGGGCAGAATTGGCAAAGTTCTAATCCCCATTGACTTTGACCCAAATCATAATCAGCCCGTGGCTGCATAATCTATAAAGAGTAGCAGAAGATGATGACCAGAGCAGCTCCCCCACTTGCTGCAAAATTAGTGTAGCATGATTCTAGACCAGGGTGTGAAGAAAAAAAAAAGAAGGTATATGATATGCAGTGTTGTTCCTATTGTTTGTAGCCACTAAAGAAACTGGACTTCTGACCACTCCCAATCAGTGCTCACTTGGACCATTCTTTCACTGAATTAACACTCCTACTGATGTTCTGCGAGCCTGCAAATATCTTTCCAAATTTTCTTCTGTACCTTTCCTGACAAATCGCCCAGAGCATAGACGGAAAAAACATACCAGATCAAGTAAGCTTACAGGGATATTGGGAAGGCCAATCCCGGATGCGGAGAAAATTCCAACTTTCTTCAGTCTCTCTCGTGCTAATTTATGAAGGAAATGATAAATTCAAATAGTTACGGGATTTAACACGGAATGCTCATTTGGACTTCGATCCTCATGTTCTCATCTTCCTGGTCTTGTTATAGACTTTAAATGCATATTTTCATTTGGAATTTCAGTCTCTTAAAGATCAGTAGAATTGGAACCGCAATAAACTATCAGCAAGCTTGTAAATATCTTATGCTGAATCTTATGTTTCATTCGAACACCAATCTCATAGAAGGTGATGCCAGAAAATATTGGCAAATATTTTTTTGAACATGCAATTCAAGGATAGAAGAAGATAATCAAGTTGTAACATGGAAACAATTACCTGTGGAGAATTATCAATTATGACAACTTTCGCCAGGTCAACTCCTAGAATAGTCAGGTCTTTTGTGTAGCTACCATCAGAGAATATACATGACTCACGATAAACACGCTGAGAGATAATTCTTTTGTCAGGATCCAGCATATCCAACAATTGTTCAGCATAAATGCTTTGACTGGCCGTGAAAATGACAATTTTAAACATCTGAGCTACCCTCTCCAGAAATTCATGCAGGTAAGGCCTCCGTCTGACATATACAGTGTGTTCTTTCATATTGAAAAATACCGGAAATGTGAAATCTGCATCAGCACAATGCTCCAAGGTGGAGTGAACGAGCGTTTCTGCATGGAAATTGATAATGATTAAGGCTCCAAGAAGATTTATTCCAGTACAAAAACCCTCCAAAAAAAATCAGACGCTAATCTCAGATCGCTTACTAAATCAGTTATGAATATCTGTATTGATTTATTAGAAGATCCATATGGGAATATTTTCCAACGATTTACTAAAAAAATAGATAACCTAGAAAGGCAGAATGCCAAGGCAACAAATTATTTACTTCCTCTTTACATTAGAGTTCAATATCAATCAAAACTGTTTTGAAGATTACATTTCCCAGCCTATTCGCCCTCACTCTTGGACCTGCTGAAAATAACAGCAGAACTTTTGTCTTCAAGCTCCATTCCAAATTCAAGCTTTGTAAATTCCAGGCACAATTTGAATTTGGTGTCATTGTGCACTTCCCACTAGTCAGTAAACTCGTCCCTACCCCCTAACAGCTCCACTTACACCTCCAGGAAATACCCCCAGATTCAGAGACCTTGTCACAAAGGGACCGAGGGAGACAGAGGCAAAGTTGTGTTGAGAAATAATCAAAAGAAAATGATCATACAAAACAGCATTACGGCACTAGCTTGTCATTGAGAGCGATCTAGTAATGAATAATCTGCTTAAGAAATGACCCCAACAAACATAGATTCACAACCTGACAACTAGAAGAAAAGACACATTCGTTGATCATTTTCATATGCTAGTCCATGGATAGCAACAAGCTTCTAAACATTGGCCCATCTAATCTCAAATCCTATTCACTTAGTTTCAGCCAAAACCAGATTAAATGCAAGAACCTCGATATAAAATAAGAAATTAGCAGGGAAAAGAACTATTCCGACTATTCGCGCACATCTGAAGTTAAAAACGAAAGGTTACAATAATACGTGAAATAAAATAAAAAAATAGCACCGGCAATATTAGAGAAAATCTGCATGGAAATACTAACATTAAACTGGGCACGAAAATCTTCATAACATTGCAGATTAAAACCATGTTTTGAAGAAAAAAAAATGCAACAGATCTCAGATTTCTTCCTTACCATCCAAATCAAGCACCAAGGTTACAGTTTTCCTTTTCCGTGTTTCTTTCGGCAACAACATAGCCCAAATGGATGAAACTGCTTCTGATACATCCGGCAAGTTATTGAGAAACAGCTGTGGGTCAAAAGAACTCAAATCTTCAATAGCCTGAGAATGGGAGGTATCCTCATCAGATGATTCCATCTGATGAATTGCCCGATAAAGACTTGAATCAAGTGAGTGGTGTGCCACTTCATCGGGAGGATCTTCATCGAAACCACTATTTTCTTCCCTGTTTCTCTCAACAAAGGGCAGTATCATATACCTTTCCGGCACATCAAACATTATATCATAGTCGAGGTAATCAGAATCAGAACGAGGATCCTCTACTGAATCACAAAGTTCAGTGCTTCTATAAAATGACAGAGGAGCATTTAAATCAGAAATGCAATGATCAGGGATATCGCAAGATCGGTAATAATCACTTGATGTACAACAGCCATCATCACTGTTGTCAGGCACCAGGTAAGGCAAATCACCCCCTTCATTATCTACAACAGATAGTAGATAGTTAAACATAGACCATTCAAGAAAAAAGGGCTTCATTTTCAACAAATGACTGGATAGAATCAGATCATAAAGTATACTAGTCATAACCAAGTAAGAAGTATTAAAATTGAAGATTTTTTTATAAATTGTAAAGCACTATCAAATATTTTCACTGTCATTGTATAATTATTCTCAAACTACGTCGATCTTAAACTAGGGAACAATTTACGAAGAAAGAATAATTTTTAGCAGACATATATTCCATGCACAGCCAGAATTGTATACAAGTCCAGAGATTACTCCAAAGAAGGAAAGAGGCTTTCACACAAAAAAATGGAAAGAAGGGAGTAAGAAATAATAGTGTATTATTCCAATATTTACCATTGGGATAAAGAGGATACTGATCCCAAATGCCTTTTACTTAATTGGATGCTCTTGTACAAAGAGTTGATAGAAAGGTCCATCAGTGACATCAGTGCCATTCATCTCATAGTCTCCAACTAGCACACCTCTAAAAGAAGAAATCAACAAAGGGTTCTTCGATTGGTATTAAAATTGGGTTACCACTAAGAATATGAAAGATGGAGATGGGCAACGGAACCAGATAAGGAGGATCTTTAACCAACATAATATCCCTAGGTCAATCAAAAAAGGTTGTTACAATACAGGGGCAGAAATTACACTCTGATTAATTCTTGCTCTAGCCATGACCCAATATAAGTGGTGTGCCATGCCTAATTCAAATTTCCTATAATATTATTAAATTGAGTTTAACTTGACGTTGATGCCCTGGGAAACAATCGGAAAAAACGCAAAGCATGGAGAGATGTGAAGCAAAATACACCGGTAGAACCAAAATGAATATGACTCGAACAAATTAGGTTTCAGTAGCTAGTCGTGGGTATACTGGGTAATGTCAATAGAGCAGGAAAAATGAACAAAGTGGATGTGAAAGTTCTGGCATCAGACTAGACTGTGTTTAAATCAGCTAGCCTAAAAAAATAACAAACCACAATTTATCTAGTAGAACAAGACTGAAGTTATGGGACCCATACGTCCAGTTGATTGGACAAAGGCTACAACGAAATATGTGGGGATGCAGATGAGTGAGATTCTCTGAGCATTATTTTTCCTTTTCGAATTAGAGCACAATAAGGAGACAAATATTTCTTTACTAATATTATAAATATACTAAAGAAGAATACAAAAGCAGAAGCATCACCAAGGTTGCATAGAGGGAGAGAAGGTCAAAATTCATTTAATATAGTTTAAGTGGTATGGGGCTAACAATAATGATTGGATCCAGACTGTATACATTAATAGTAGAAAATTTTCATCTCCACTAAGCAGATGAATTCACGTATATATATTCGCATGAGAACCATACACTTTTAAAAAAAAAAAAAAAAAAAAAGTAAGCAACAATACAAAATAATCTCACATATTTCTGCATAATCCTTCAACTATTTCTTTATCCAACATGCACAACTTTATAGATATCAAATGGCGCATGTCCGTACGATTTTTTTCGTTCCTCATCCTTATTCTCTTGAAATGAAAGCCTTATGAATGTCTGTAGGTAAGCTGCCTTGTTTGGTAAAGATAAAACCTAGCCATGTAATGGTGAAATAAGTAGGACGATTCGTATGGAAGAAAAAGGAATACTCTCAAAATCATACCTTTGATACTATGGCCGATTACTGTGTGTTGCACTTCACCATGGTCCAGATGAGGTGAGAAGATCATTTCATTGATCACAGGGTATGCAGCTGAGATTGAACCCTTCAGGTCAACAAAGTGCATCAAATTAGCCAGGTTATACTGAGAAACACATGTTCAAAGCGTCTAGTACAACAGTTTCTGGGGGTGAAAACACAAATGACTCATAGAACATACGGACAATTACTCAATCACTGAATGCGGCGGTTTATTTCCGTCCAGGTGTGTATGATTACAAGGAACAAAAAGAATTAGATGATTCTGTCTATAAACACTTTCAATTCAAAGATTGCGCGGCACTAAAATCGAATATCATTGTTACTGCCCCCAAAAATCACCTGTGCAGGTTACATAACATACGTTAAGCTTACATTATTCAATCACATCTTCCATAATTGTAAACAATAAAAATGATCATACCAACACAATCATACATGTCATGTGCTACCTTATATTCCTGAGTCCATCCCTGAAGCTCCCTCTGCACGATATATTTGTTGCATATATTAATTATAATTAAATCATCCTAACAGAAGCTGTAGGCTCACTGGCAAAGAACTCTAGCTCCAGTCATATTTCAACGGCCCATGCAATCTGAATTCATTAGGTTTCGTAATCTAAATGCCATTATATGTCTTCTTTCAAAAAGTAAATTCAAGTGAATCAGAACCATCGTGTATCTTTAATAGAATCTAGAGATAGCGGAAAGGAATTGAAGAATGGAGTACCTTGTAGAGTCAGGTTTTCACAACGAATGGGATGAAGGTAGATCCGAAAAAATTTCGCAGGCGGGTAGATAACAATGTAGGTTGAGCGGCAGGTAATTTATTTTATTCATAAACATTCACTCCGTGTAACTTCAACAAAAGTCTATCATTCAGGGAAGAGGATATCACTGCGGTTCATGCAAAATATGAATCGGCATGGTCATACACGCCTTCAGATAAACCATTAAGAGCAGCACCTACTACAGCCAACAACGACTTTATTTGAACATCAAAAAACAAAAGAGAAGCACCACCTTTCCATCAGTAGGCGTTGAATCTGGCACTGATAAAAGCACATTCACATGATCATTGGACTGATAAAACAAACCCTCCTGCTCAACGACGTTAGCTGGAATAATAATTTCACCAGAAACGTCAACAGCAGGACAAGCTGCAGAAACATGTTAACTTTTTCAGAAAAGTAGCAAGGCAAGAAGCCACTTCATAAATGTGAATTTCTAACTTGAGCAGTACTTGATAAACCAAGAATAAAAGACCTTTTACATGTAGAAATGAAATAAATGAGCACAGATGACGTAACAATAAATGAAAAGGCGATGAGAAAATCTTGTAAGGCAGAAGTTTTGCATTTGTTGAACATGATTCCTCTTCATTAAAAACTTATACTTGCATACAACCCTCTCCTACAGTCCCGAAAGCTCGACCCCAAACTAAACAAATGAAGCTCTCTAACACCGTTTAAAAGGCATAAAATTATATCAAATTCCGTTCAGAGAAGCCTGTGTAGGATTACCTGTTAGATGAGATGCTTTGTCCTCAGAGTACAACCTTTGGGACACCTTTGTTGACTTGCGGTAGACATGGAGTTTGTTCTCTCTTATGCAGTCTTTGCTTACATTTGATTTCATGCTTCGCGCTGGCATGTGTACTTCTCTTCAGAAAGATGTCACGGTTCACCATCAACTGGAAACGAACTCAAATTATTCTTCAGTTTCATCAACAACCCAAGAGACCTAAATTTAAGATAAATATCCCCATCCTCCAAAAGCCAAGTGAACAGGAAAAATAATATACAGAAATAGGTCACTGTTCAGAGGCCCTAATTCAGAATTTAGATTACTTTATCACCATTGTAACATGATGTAATAAAGGAGACTATTCTGAATCAAGGCACTACAGAAACAACAAGAACAGTCTACTTCAAGGTAGGCCCAGTCACATAAAAAATAAGACTCCCCTAGTCATGCACTGCGTACGAGATGCCGTCAAAATGAATATTAAGCGGCGAATTTTTAATCAAAGAAAAAAATAAAATTGAAGCAGGTTAATTTTTAAATTGAAAAGTTGCATTAATAAATCAGCTAGCCAGGAAAGAAATTTCCATCTTAGGACGAGGGCTATAACATTTATATGGAGTATAATATTTATACAGCTTCCTTCAATGTTTCCAGTCCGAGCAATAATCTCCGTTATCATACATCAACAGTGAAAACTACGTTGTGAGGGGGAAGGGATAGCGAGAGGGCCGTTGCATAGAGAGCTCAGCGAAGAAGAAGCTGCATCGGGGGAGACAAGCCTCTCATCCTCCCAGAACAGGCCAGGGAAGGGAAATTTTCGTTTTTGGTATCATCTTAGTCACATCATATAGTGACTACCCAAATATGTGATCCACGCGGGAACCTAGTTCACTTTTCCAGAGAATAAATAAAGAGAAGTTCTAACAACTGGAGAATAAAGGATCTGGTTAAATGATCTTGATATCCTATAAATAAAGTCTCACAAAATTTAGATATCTCGATTCTTAGAGCTACATGAAAATAGAATTAATAAAATTGAAGGATATTTTCCGTCACAAGAGCCTGAGAGGAAAAGGCGACATGAGCCTCTTTATGAAATCGGGACAGAGGAGATCAGCTTGGAAAAATTGCAGCTGATGATCTAGAGAAAAAAAATCGAGAATTCGCCAGAAAATCGGGACAGAGAAGTTCTTTCCAGTTCGTAAGGACAATTCACAAAAGGACAGCTCTCTTCGATTCCCCTCATCCACCGCTGCGAAATTCGACCATCATTCGGACGGCACAAACAAACGTGAGAAACAGTCACCAAGGTACAATTCGACTACTCAGAAGTAGGACACAACAAGAGGGAGAAAGATCAGAAGAAAAACCTCCGGCCGTTTTTCCGGTAAAAATCAAAATCACCGCGCAAGACCCAAGTCCACCCAAATAAGACCGAGAGAAGGGAAGACAGGCAGAGAGCTTCCCAACCAAATCCATGGGATCAGCGAGGAGAGCTAAAACCCCATACATACCTGGTGCAGAACCCGAAGTCTCCCTCCCTCTCCCCTGCTCTCCTCCGCTCTCCTCTGCTACTCCCCCCCAATCCCGCCTCTTCTCCATGACTTCCCTTAGACTATCCGTCCAGTTGGTTGGAAGGAGGAAGAAGGGGGGGGGGGAGGAGGAAAGATGCTTTCGGAACTTCATCTACGGCCAGGATGCCGTCATGCTTCAAGCCGCTCGTTTTGCTACACGTGGCACTGACTGGTTAGTAGACCGAGTCGCACGGGGTTAGATATATATATATATATAAGTACGCTTAGATTCTCCGATTCTCCGCTCTACATTTGGTTGGCTTCTTATTAGAAATCAGTACCCAGAATTTTGAACATTTACAAACGTACCTTCAATTTAGGAAAAATGTCTCATTCAAGTGGGTTTTAGAAGTCAATAGGGATGCAGTGGACTTTAATGACATTTTCCGTCTCATTTCCATTTTTATCTATCTTTAGATCTTCAAATAAATATTATTTACTTTGAAGGCGAATTTTCTAAATAAAATTTCTATGAAATGGGGAATAATCATAACATGATTGACGCAAGTGGGTGTGCCTTCCTCGCATCCCATAAAGGTTTGACTTAATGGGAACAAGTCTCCCCTCTCATACCAAGCTTCAAAAGTATCCTAAAGTCAACATGGGCTTTTCTATTCATTGTTTGGAAGTTGATTGTCCTAAAAATAGAAAGATATCAGATCATGCAGCCTTGGATTCCTTCACAAAGGTATTAAAGATGGAGATTTTTCATAAAATATTTGTAGTTTGAACGTGAAATCTTATGAGAAAATGATAATGCAACCATTTTAGTAATAACTTGGTATTTCTTGTAAATAATTTAGAATATTAGCAGTTTAGGGTTTTAGTGGAGCCTCAATGTGGAATGATAATTAGGCTGGTATACCTACTAAGAAACCCCTTGTGTGAATGATGGATAAGAGAAAAGGGGGACAAAATGTTGACTTCTTGATCTAAATGATGTTGACAATCCAGGATCTTGCATTGACTACACGTTCGACCAAATTTGGTAGATTGCCAGCTTAGTGGCACAATGCAGTCAACGAGCAAGGTTCACGGGTCAACTTCTCATTTTAGGCAGAAAATTAATTGGTATAATATCATGAAAATAGTCTTATAAGCTAAAATTTTCAGTCTTTGATATGAAATCGCATATATCGTATTAGGGTTACGGCTGGGGTAAGTAGGGATCCGAAGATATGGGTTTTGATCTCATCCGAGTATGGTCCAACTTAGGTATTTTCCTTGCTTAAAAAAGGCTTCTTCAATGACCCAGAGTTGACAAAAAGTCAACTTTGTTGCGAAGACTTGTCCTCTCCGCGGGGGCTGAGGACGATCAGCCCAGTGGAGATAACCATAAATGCATTGACAGCGTCTGGGCAAGATCATCCACATACGCGTGAAGGAGACAGAAGCTGATCAGTGGGCCTCTCTCTCTCTCTCTCTCTCTCGCTAGGTTTTTCTCCCGTTTCAGCGGCGGGGGGAGAGCCGATCGAGGCTGTCCAGTACATGGTGCATGGAAGGTCTCCTCTCCGGGCTGGTCTGAACGCAGGCGAGTGCGATCTTCAGAGCTCCGATGATCTCCTCCTCCTCCTCCGCCTCGGCGGCGGTGCCGCTGTCGTCTTCCGCTTCCTGGAGGAGGGTCGGGTCCAGCACCTCCGCGAGCGGCTTTTTCTCCTCCACGCAGAGCTGCACCCATCGCACCAGGTCAACGCCGGCGGCGCTCAGTAGCGCCGGCGGCGACCTCCCCGTTATCAGCTCCAGCAGTATCACACCGTACGAGTAGACGTCCCACTTCTGCGACGGCTTGACGGCCCTCGCTGTCTCCGGAGCCCGGTAGTAGGCGGCGGCGCCGCCCTCCGGCGGCTCTCTCCGCCACCCTCCGGCGATGTCGGCCAGCCGCCGGAGCCCGAAGTCAGCGATGAAGGGCTCCAAGTCAACGCCGAGGAGAACGTTGCTGGGCTTCAGATCTCCATGGACGTACCTCTTCGGACTGAATTCATGCAGGAATGCCATCCCCCTTGCCACCCCTTTCATGATCTTCATCCTCTCCCTCCACTGCAGCGCCGCCGTCGCCTTCACTGATATCACCGGAAACCCTCGCCGGTGAGCCAAATGTAGAAAGAAACCCGGAAAATCTGGAGGGGGCGCTCACCGTGGACAGCGGCGGAGAGGTTGCCGCCGGGAATGTAGTCGTAGATGAGGAGCTTCTCGTCGAGAGACCAATAGTAAGCTCTGAAGGGGACGACGTTGCGGTGGCGGAGCTTGCCGATGGCCTCCACCTCCGCCTGAAACTCTCCGAACCTCTGGGAGCCGCCCTCCCCCAGCCGCCGCACCGCCATGATGGTGCCGCCCTCCAGCACCACCTTGTAGACGATTCCCACGCTGCTCTTCCCCAGGACGAAAGCCGACGCCTTGAGGAGCTCCTCGAGGTCGAAGCTCGAATGGCGGTCCAGCAAGACGAGCTCCGAATGGTCGCCCTCCTCCCTCCTCCGGCGGGCCTTGGCGGCGATCCCGCCGCCGGTCATCGCCGCCGCCGAGATCGCCTGCCGGTAGCAGTAGAGGAAGATCAGAGCTATGAGGCAGATGGCGGCGAGATCGCCCCCCACTACGGCGGCCACCTGGCCTCCGCTCAGCCTCGCGTGGCCTACTGTGGCGGCGGCGTTGCCGCCGGAAGAGGAGGGCGAAGAGCAGGGGGTCTTTAATGGCGGACCGCAGAGGGCCGGGTTTCCGGCGAAGGCCGTGGGGCCTCTGTTGACCAGAGCTCCGCTCTGGGGGATCTCCCCGCTTAGATTGTTGAAGCTGAGATCGATGTAGACCCTCTCCGGCAGGCTTCCTAGGGTCGCCGGAACGGCGCCGGAGAAGAGGTTGTGGGAGAGGTCCGCCGTCCCCTGGAGGGCGGAGAGGTTGCCCAGGTCGCCGGGGACGGCGCCGGAGAAGCTATTGAGGGAGAGGTTGAGCTTCTCCAGGAGAGGGAAGGCGCCGCCGAACCCTGCCGGAAGGGCGCCGGAGAAGCGGTTTCCGGCAAGGTCGAGGATCCTCAGCCTCCGACAGCGAGTCAGCAAGGTGGGCACCGAGCCATTAATGGCGTTCCGGGAGAGGTCCAGGATCTGGAGGTAGGAGAGGGCGCCGACGCCGACGGGGAGCTCGCCGGAGAGGGAGTTCCCGGAGAGGACGAGGCTCTGGAGCCCTAATGCGCCGGCGAGGAGGCCGGCCGGGAGGGGCCCCTCGAACTGGTTGCTCCGCAGGTTGAGGTGGCGGAGGAAGGAGAGGTTCCATGGCGATGGGTGGAGGGAGCCCCTGAGCTTCGCTCTGGGGAGGTTAATGGCGACCACTGTCTGGTCTCTGCAAGTGATCCCGTTCCAGAAGCAGGGGGTCGGGTCGGAGGAGTTCCAGTTGGCCAGAGCCGCCGCGCTGTCGCCGGCGATGGAGCTCCGGAAGCGGAGCAGAGCTTGGCCTTCCTCGTTCACGGCGGCGCCGCCGTCGAGATGGACCAGAAGCCCGCAGCACAGAACCAGAAAGAGGAAGATGCCCGAGGGTGGCGGCACCGCCATGGATGTGGGCGGAGGAGGATGAACCGGGGGAAGGGGGGAGGAGGAAGACGAAGAGAGCCCGTCGGAGGAGACGAACCAGTGCTTTGCCGCAAGGATTCAGAGATGGGGTTAGAGAGAGAGAGAAAAGCAGTTCCTAGGGCAAAACAGTGCTCTCTCTCTCTCTTAAAAGACCTATTTTCCCCGTAGAGCGAAGAAGGGTACAGGAACAAGACAGGTGCTGTCAGAGGAGGTAGGGTCCTTGCTTACTCATTCATGCGAGACCATTGCCGCGGAGTGGAGATCACGGACAGAAAGAGAGAGAGAGAGAGAGAGAGAGAGAGAGAGAGAGAGAGAGAGGATCTACCGACAGTCACTCCGAGATTATGACGTTCTCGGGACGGGTGGAATTATCAGAAGGATAACTCTCTCTCTTTCTTCCTCTCTATCTCTCTCTCACTCTCTCGCTCTCTCTCTCTCTCTCTCCTCTCTCTCTTTTTTCTCACCCTTTCTCCCTCTCTCTATCCTCTCTCAAAATCTCTCCCCATGGCCGCAGTCATCGGGGAATAGCGGCAGAGTGCGGCTCCGGACAAGAAGAAGGCGGAAGACCGTCTCGGACAAGGCGAAGTCTCCTCCTCCAAGGTAAGCACGCCACTGCGGCGCCAGATTTCCAAGGATCCGATCTTGGTTTCTCTCTGACTTTCTGACTGGAATTAGAACCTCAGCGGGTCAACGACCACTTGCGGATACAGTCCCACGAATATTATATCAATCAGACAGTTCTCTGAAGATCACTTCAGGCCCTCTACAACCCCAGGGTCAACGGAGGGAGCAATAATGTCCAAATCAGGATCCTTCCAAGTCAAAATGCCTTCAAATGTCGCATAATTGATGCATTAAAGGAAATTCGGAGCAAGAGAAATTACGGTTCACGAGAAGTCGTTAACGGAGTTGGGACACGGTTTATCGGGGTATCGCGGATACCGACAACAAGTCCACGAGAAGTCGCGATAAATTGAGTTGATGCGGCAGGAGTGAAAGTAGCCGTTAATTTTTCGCTGGCCCTTAATTTTTACTCTCTCTCCCCATTTTCCGGCACGGGAGCCCCAGCACAGTTTCCGTTTGTCTTTAACGGAGTTTTTGGGCCGTTAGTCGTCCTCCGGGGCCCCACCACCCTCAAATGAGATAAAAAATCCGGGACCGTTAGTGGTCCTTAGAGACTGGAGTAGACCAAACTAAATCTTCTGAAAAGATTAGGAAAATCTTATGGATCATGCAAAGTCAAATGCACTCAAGAACGGTTATCTTGCAACTAATTGACCAGATAGTCAAAACCCTTGTGCTGCCATAGAATATCCAACAAAGAATACCAAATATAGTAAGTATAGAACTAATGGGACTAATGAACTCAAGCTCACAGATAAACCCCCCTAGAAAGGCTTAGCAGGCCAAAATCCAAGCAAGTGTAACTGGGTTGACTAGGTATATTCATGGCACAAATTAAATGAAAAGAGATTGAATGCCCTTTGAAGCTCGCCTGTGATGCAATTAATCTTACAAGGGCTAGAAACTTTGTCATGGCGTAGAGGAAACCTGGGGGGTCTTACAAGGTTGACATGGAGGGGCGTATTTTTCCTTGCATTCTAGACAGACATTGAGAAAATATATCAAGTTCTCAATTGATTATTATTATATAACGTGTATGGGGGAGTAAATGTCCTTCGAATACTGGCAATGGACATATCTTCATAATTTAGCCAAGGTTATGATTGCATGTGATAAGCCAATTTATGTGGTGCTTTGGATTCACTAGGAATCAGCCACTTCAACGGAAGGAGAACTGTAAGTATCTTGGGGTTCCATCCTTCCTCTGAGAAGAAGCCTCCTAGCTCAGCTTCTTCTCGTTTGCAGGGGCGCCCGGACCTCTGGGGATCCTGCTGAGTATCTCCGAGTCGACCTTCCTGTACACCTTCCTAAAGTCGCTGCCTCCCTTGTTAACCAGGTGGTCAATCTCATCTTCGTACTTCTCAAACAGGAAAGGCAGCGTGGAGACGCCCAAAAACCCTAATATGAAGTAATTAGATATCGATTCGAGGAAGGAATTCTAGAGGAAGTTTATGAGCTGAGGTTATTCATTAATTACCCAAGTAGAGGAGGTTGAGGGTGCTGCAGCAGCTTCCAACGGCGGCGATAAACCAGAGGGCCACTATGGTCTAATCCCCGTTTGGCGCATGTGAAGGACGATCAAACATTAGCAAGAGATGATAGCATCAAATCACTTGAGAATAATTCAAGGTTTCTTGGGAAAAATGAACTTTATAATGGTATGAAGCAATAATATGGGAATTAGTCATGTTTTGGGTTATGGAGATTACTTGGAGGAAAATTCACCGAAGATATATTTCTAGGAAGATTAATACGTGAATACCACGAAAAGAAGACACTACCCATTTGGTAGAGTTTTGAGGGAAGTAGAGGGGGAGAGAGGGAGAGAGAGAAGAATGAAAGAGTGTGGTTAGAGAGAGAGAGGAGTCATAAATAACTATTTAAGTAGTCATTTTTAATGAAAACTAACACCATTCACCCAGATAAAATGAAAGCCTTTTTGTTTTGAACGCCCACAAAGTCTTGAAATTATCAATGCCTTTGTGTTAACTGATCTTTTATGTAGATCCCTGCAAACTACCAGAATTAACTAATGGGAGGGCCAATAACATCATTCAAAAGGTTATAAAAAGTTTAAAGAGTGTATTTTAGTGATTATTTTTTTAATCATAGTATCCATTACTGCATTTTTTTCTCAAAAAAAAAGAAGGTAAAAACGTAGAAAGGAATCCGAGCCAGCCACTCTCACCAGGAGGAACGTCTTTAGATCTTCCCCGCGCGCGATGCGGTGAAGGAAGGAGAGGAGCCGGCTGAGCTTGGAGTGGAAGATTTCGGCTGCCTCTTTGATGCCATTCCTCGACAAGATCTCCCGGGGAATCTCCGGCGGCTCCCTGCAAAGAAGATTGGTAAACGGAGACCGATGAAGTGGATGGAGAGGAGAAGAGGGAAGGGGATGATACCAGCCGACGAGGGCGGCGCCGTTGCACCAGATGAAGACGACGAGCATGGCGGCGATGGAGAGGTGGGAGAGTAGAGAGAGGAGGTTGTACTCCACGACCTCGAAGAGCAGCCAGACTACGGTCACTCCGACGAGGATCGCACCCGATAGCCGTTTGTTCCTCCAAAGCACCACGTCAGCGACTGGTCATGGCAGACAAACGAACGTCCTTTAGAAGAGGAGCAAGAGCAAGCTCACGAACAAGAAGAAGGAGAAGAAAAAGACAGTGATGAAAAAACAGACAGCGGCCACCGCCCAGAAGCGCGTGGAGAGGCCTTTGCTGGCCGAAGAGCTTGGTCCTAGAAGACGACGGTTTGTAGTCAGAATCTGATGAGTACGCCATTGCGATCGACCTGTCTCTGGTAGGAACTCAGCTCCCCACACGGTAAAAGAGCACGGAATGGATGATATAGATCCTGTATGCAGGGAGGGTTGTGCCTGGCGTAAAGAGTAAGGGAAACTTAGACTCAGACTTTAAGAAAGGGATGGCTTGGGGGAACAGACCCTCGTCACCTCTCTCGGGGATTGGAATCCCTTTTCTCCCCGCCTTCTTCCATCTGCCATGAATGTTTACGCGTCCTCTTCGTCGGGGACCAAGTAAGGAACCTTTTTCAACCCGTCGAGGTTGAGTTTTGGATTAATCTAAATCCCTCGGAATCGCTTCCTTGAAAATTTATAAATTTCCCATCCATATGGCCTTCAAATTATTATGATATTAGATATGATTTCATGAAGACTTCATGAAATGCTTTTGAGCACAAGTCAAAATGATAGTGTAAAACTTCCTGAAAAGTACTCAAAGCAATTGTTACTAAAGGTAGGTTAACTTCATCTCCATTAAGTCACTCTTTTCCATTGATAGAAATTTCCTCAGGAATAATACACATAAGGTGATATTTTCTGAATTTCAAAAAAATCTAGCTATTTCAAGATAACATAGTTAACACAATGTAGTCTACTGAATCTTATAGCATTAGGTTCACCATCTTGTAGACTCATTATAAATCAAAATTTATCACACATTTAAGCATTGAAAAAAATGGACTAGTAATTCCAAGAACTCTTAAATCTAGAGTTGGTGAAGACAAACACAGTCGTTGGGTTTGATAGTTCAATGAATAATATGTATAAAAGATAACTAACAAGATATGTTGAACTAAGTTACATGAAAAGTTCAAAATGATTGAAGTTATTTCATTATCATGATCTAATCCAGTGAAAGTATAGCTGATGTTCACAATAAGACTTTTTCAAAATAGATTTGACAAGTATATCTCCCAATATTTGGATACTAGGGCACTAAGTTGCTTTTCTATCCCTTGTTTCTAGCACTTTTCAAAATGTCTCCACATAACAATGATAGTAATTGACTTACAAAATGTTCTTACGATCTTACTTGAGATTACTCGAGTTTAAGGGTGATGGATGCTTCAGGAAGCTTCAAAAATATTTCTCTTGTAGAGAAATTTGATGAGAGATTACAAAATGAATAGGAAGATTTGATACATCATTGGTGCGCACTTTGAAAGCTCTCAAGATGAATTTTATAGAGCCAGAAAACTCGACCATTAGCATTTAAATCTATGAGATATAATTGGTTAGAAATTGACCAAATTCAACATGTAAGTCAACTCATCAACAGTTCATAATCGAACTGTTAGCGTGACCAACCTTTGACCAAGTTGCTCTACAAACATATTAATGTGAGATTTTTTTGATTTTATTTCAATCTTCTAACATGTCAATACATATTTCCCTTGTCAAAAATCTTCTAGGATATGTTAGATATTTGGACATGCTTGACATATTAATTGTCTCAAAGAAAATCTCATTTCTCTTTGTTGAGATTGGATTTAACTATCTTGGTCAATACATGAGATTGACAAACTTTCTCTCTCCTCTACTTTTTTGCTAGGTCAATACAATTCTATCTTTTTTGTTTTAGCTATTCCAAGGCACTTTATCTCTCTTTAATTTTACTTTTTAGATACTAAATTGCTATAATTTTAACTTTGTTTTAATGTATAACTTCCTTGATGATTCTTTTCACTATATAAGGATTGGAAAAAGAAACACAATGGAAAATGCTCTATCTAATGATTTAGATCATCATCTAAGAATCATTCAAATAATGATATATTTATGAACATATTTAGTACAATAATTTTTTTTTGATGGAATACTTGTTGATGTCAAGATCTTTAAGCCAATAATTGTAATCTATTGATAAGTCTTCATTATCATGAGTTAATAATTAGTAAATAATATAGTTTTAGCCTTAACTCATGATAAATAGACTTATATTTGTTTTAAAGTGTGAAAAGTGGTTTTCAGTTGATTAATGTGAATTTTTAGGTAATTATGTGATTTTACATAAATTTATATGATTTTTAAAGTCTTGCTTTTGAGATAAATGAAGAAAAAGAAATAAAAAATAAAAATAAGACAATGAGGGGGACCCGCCGGCCAGTCGGGCTTGCAAGCGGGTCGGAAGCTCAGTCGGGGAGTAGCCGCGAGTAGGAGCTCGAGCGGCTTGGACCGATAGGAGCACATGTGCGCCACTCCCCTTCCACGTCGCCGGTGGCCAGCCGGCTGTGGGGCAAGGAATGGTTGTACACGCGAGAGAATAAACTTTGCTTAGAAATGTAACATTACTATATATTCGCCCGAAAAATCGGCGCACAACTGATGTGGGACTAAACCCGCGTCACACCTTCCTCAGAAGGGGCAGACATCCGGCGCGGGTTCGAATCCTCCTAGAGTCAAAAGTCATATATTTTTATCTGATTATCATGACTTTCCTGCAGATTGCCGATGAAGGATCAAGCAACAAGAATCGCTGGATCATCGGCAAAAATTTCGTTAACGCGATTCGTAGAGTATTGCTACTAAAATTGCTGAACGATTTGCGATAAAAGGATCGCGAATCCATTGAGTAAATCATCTCCGATTGATCGACGAACAAGCCGTCGTCAGGAAGAGAACGATCCGTCGGGAGACGAGTCGCCACCTCTTGAGAGCATACCAGATGCGATGAAGAGCCTCCTCTTGCTGCGCGGACCTGAGGATGAAGCTCCCTGACACGCGCCCCACCTCCATCCAGCTCCTCTCTGTCGGGTGACAGCCGCTGGAGAGCCGCAAAGTTGTCGTTTTTCTGCTCCGCCGAGTGACAGCCGCTAGAGACGAGTCGACGACCTATTTCATTGATCTCTAGACTTTGAAAGGAGATCTAGAGATTGCCCACGTCGTCTTTGTCTAAAGAGAGCCTTTGAGGCCGTAGACACTACACGACGATCCTCTTGAACGCTCAGGATTTCGGTGCATTGTCGACGCATCGCCGTCGCGACGCCGGAACTCTGTTTTCCTGCTTTCAACTTACTTTACGCTTCATTTAGTGATACTTTTTGTGATTTTAATTTACCAAAATATACTTTGTTCTATTACGATTCTTCCGACTTTTATAGCTCTTAATTTGATTAAATAAATCGTCTGTAATCGCTTACGTAAGAATCACCGGGCGGAACTCTGTTTCCGCCCGATTCGCGTTCGCCGGGCACTGACGTCATCCTGACGTCCGCACCCTTATTTCCTTTTTTTTGTGAATTTAAAATATATTTCCTTTTCATTTCTTAGTATAAAATTCATAAAAAATAGTATTCTTTGAGGAAAATTCTAAATAATTACCAGATATTATATTACATCCCTGTGATCGACTGGAAAATTACCACTATTTTTTGGAAGTTTTATTGAATTATAATTGATATATTTGTTTAGAAATACTTCTAAATATCTGAGAAATCGTATTTTTTAGTTTTATAAATTTTAGATTTGCGTGATTTAATATACAAAGACTGAGTCACGTCATCTATGACACATTATAGGTTTGTCCATGGTTTAGAAAATGATTCTCCTTTCTTTATGATCATCAAATTATCATTCATTTTTCATAATGGATTCCAAAATTAAAATCTCTCCAAATGATATAATTTTAAAAAAAATAAAAATTAGACCATATGAAAGTCGTATGCATTGTCTTCATGAGCTCAGCCAAGATACCATAGTCAACATCCTTTAAGATTTTAGGAACTTTATTTTGATCATTGATGTGTTTTCTTGGGTATGATTATCTGAACATAGTCTCAACATTTACCCAATGAGTCTTGGCAAGGATGAGTAATCTATGAACGTGGAGTTCAAATCATATTTTGTGCTATATATCAAAGTCAGTTTGACATTAAATTTTTAGATTGAGCCAACTAGGTTTGTAGTACCATTTGAAAGGAAATAGTTTCCAAGCCCAAGGAGGGGCACAAGAATCAGGGTTGTTTCTTTAGAGAAATTTTTTCATGAACACCACAATGAATAGGCTGCTTTTAAAGAAAACTTGGGTTGTTTTAATTACCTTTCAATGTAAACTTTAACTTCAGAGAATTTCGATAACTTCAAGTAATTTAAGTCAGCTTAAAATCATAATAATTGTTGGTTCACATTAGCTAGCCTTGAAATTTGGCCCATGATATAAATAATGTTGACCAGAGAGGGGAGCTAAACAAAGCTGTGAGTGGTATCATTTTTCTCCTTAATTGATGTTCTATTGTCTTAGTGGCATGTGAATGTTAGTTTTCAAGATTATCAAGTATGTTTCAAAAATGGATTGCATCATACAAGTCTTATTGGTTCACAAAATCTTGTTCAATAGTGATATTATCCTTTGTGTTCAAATTATATTTAGTTAGACTATTAAATACATGTAACATTACTATAAGAGACAAATGTAAGAATATTATTCCTTATTTAACAAGAGGCAAATGTTACAAATTCCTTATCATCATCCAATGTGACATTTCAATATTTAATCATCATTGACTAAGTCATCCAATACGTTTTAATATAATTAATCAAGAAATGTAAGAATATTAATTGTGATGTTATCCCATACATCATAAGTTTGATGTTATCTTGCCAAAGAGATATGTGAATCTTATTCGTCAAAATTATCAAGCAAGTTCAAAAAAATGGATTGCATCATACAAATCTTATTGGTTCACAAAATCTTGTTCAACAATGATATTATCTTGTCTTCAAATATATTTATCTTGTGTTCGACATGTATAATGTGATTTAACAAGCAGCCAACGTGACAAATTCCTTATCATTATCTATTGTGACATCTTAATTTTCAATTGTCGTTGACTTAGTCATCCCAAAAAAATTAATATTATTCATGAACAATTGAGGAAGAAAAGGGCTGAGAAGCTAGAAACAATTTAGTTTGTAGGAATGTTTAGCTATACCCACCCCTTCATTTTTCCACATTTTTTGAGAGCTTTTTATTACCAATGCTCTAGAAAAATTATGTGTGAAATCGAGTTAAATCAATAGGTTTGGAATCATTTGTTGAAAATAATTTATTTAAATACGTTATATTAGAAATATCTGGTGTTGTGGCAATTTTTAATATTCTTAAAAGTAATTTTCATCCTCAGAATATATAGATACCAATCGAATCCTATCCGATATAGAGATATCCTGTGAGAAAAATATCTGACGTGGCTCATCCACTTGGCTTCCGCCGTTTTGTTTTTACTTGATTTAGTAAATGAAAAATATATTTAGTGGCGCCAGTTCGACGCGCGCGAGAAAAATATAGCCAGATTCTTATCCCCAACGAGCCATCGCTGACTGTGCATGAGAATAGTCAAAGTCCCACAGAGCAGCAGCCGACACGGTCACTCCATTAGTGAGGCTGGCAGAGTAAAAACTAACATTTTCAATGAGGTAGGCCGCTGACAGAGGCCGCGCCTTGTCTTCGCCTGGAGCAGATTGGTGGCGCCACCACCAACAACCGGCGAAGATTGTCATAATCCCGTCGGCCATTTCATCTCGCCGCCTTTGAACCCTCCGGCAATCCACCCTTTGGTCGCCTGACATGGCTTGCCCGGCTTTCTCCATCCTGCTCCGCCCGGCCATCTTCCCCAGGTCCTCCGCCCTGCCGCGCGTCGCCGTGGCCCAGGCCTCCCTTGCCGTCGCAGCGTCGGCGCCGGCGCCTGCGATGAGCTTGGGGTTCGAGAGGCTGAAGGAGACCTTCATGGTGGACGTCGCCAGGGCCGAGGGGCGGCCCCTGAACGTCCCCCTGGTGGCGCCCTTCACTATCGCGTCCTCGCGGCTGGAGGCGGTGGGGAACGTGGCGGTGCGCGTGGAGCTCCGCAACGGCTGCGTGGGGTGGGGGGAGGCCCCCGTGCTGCCGTCCGTCACCGCCGAGGACCAGCCCGCGGCGTTGGCCGCTGCCGCCGAAGCCTGCGCTGCCCTAATGGGGGCACAGCCCGCGCCACTCGACCATGCGCTCGAGCAGATCGCCGGGATACTTCCCGGCCACCGCTTCGCGTCAGTGAGTCAACTGGGCGAATTTATTGGGTTTTTCTCTGAATTCTTCGACCGTAGCCCATCCATAGACTGCAATTTCAGAGCATTCTTTTGACTTATTGCCTCGAGAAAAAAATAAAAAATAAACTCAGGGCTTGAGCATTCATGAAAATTTTCATTTAAGGAAGTGATAGTACTTCACGGGGGGCCTGGGTACTTCCTAGAGACTAATTATAGTAAAACCTTCCAGCTTCGGGTTTCAGCTAGTCGACAGTACCTGTGTCTGATTTTTGCAATATTCTAGAATTAGTAGGAGTAAAGATGTTGCAATCTTGGGGTTTGATGATCATCAGGGATCGATATAGTTTTGAGTATACCGGATATGGAAATACTGAAGACTCGTCAAATTTTTTAAGAACTCCTTTTTATTTGAATTCATTCTTGTATATAATTTATAACCCCATTTATTTATATAAATCTGTACTAATTTCTGTTGTTTTTCTGCCAAATGAAGGTCAGGGCCGGAGTGGAGATGGCGCTTATCGATGCAATCGCCAACAGCATCTCTGTTCCGCTTTGGAGACTATTTGGCGGCGTATCAAACTCCATAAGAACAGATATTACAGCTCGGTTCCAACTTAAAAAGACCCAGCAAGCTATATTTAGAGAAACGAAACGTTTTATAGATCTCCTAATGTTCTCTTTTATTCTGCATATCTCGATGAACTATATACAGAAAAAATAAATTCTCTTAGATTCTGATCTCATGACGTTTTCTGTTCTTCTATAGATTCTGATGAACTAAATATAGAAGAGAAAAATTATTTTATAGATCCATATTATTCTCTGTTTTAATCCAGATTCCGATGAACAATACTCAGAAAAAAATCTTATTTAAATGTTCTAACATCCTCTCATTATTCTTTCTTCTTTTGATTCCACAGGAAAACAAATATCTCATCTACAATTCTCCTAACATTCTCTGTTCTTCCGCAGATTCCAATGGTTTCTCCAAATGAAGCTGCTGAGCTAGCATCAAGCTACCGGGGACAAGGATTTAGTACAATTAAGCTTAAGGTGGGGAAGGACGTAGACACTGATATTGAGGTTCTAAGGGCTGTACAGGCCTCTCACCCTCACTGTTCATTGATATTGGATGCAAATGAAGGGTATACAGTCTCTGAAGCAATTGGCGTCCTCGAGAGATTGCATGGTGCTAACTTATATCGAAGTGATTTGTAAATATAAATTATGAAAGATATCTGAATTCATTTTTTTTTATTTCAGAAATGGGGGTCGTGCCAGCTTTGTTCGAGCAGCCAGTGGAGAAGGATGATTGGGAGGGCCTTGGTCACGTCAGTCATCTAGCTAAGAGCAAATATGGAATCTCTGTTGCGGCAGATGAGAGTTGCAGGAGCTTAGATGATGCATACAGGATCGTAAAGGGCAAGCTTGCCCATGTGGTCAACATTAAATTAGCTAAATTGGGGGTTGTAGGTTCTCTCGAGGTGATTGAGGTGGTGAGACGAGCTGGGCTGGGTCTCATGATCGGCGGAATGGTTGAAACCAGGCTTGCCATGGGTTTTGCCGGCCATCTGGCTGCAGGCCTTGGTTGCTTCGGGTAGTTATTTGTTTTGTTTTTTGTTTCTATTGTAATCGCCGTCACATTGTTTCAGTCACAGACTAAAATTCTCAGATTTTGTTTTTGGCCTAATGCCTAAACCCTGGGTCTGTTTAAAATCTAATGCAGGTCTTTCGATCTAGACACACCTCTTCTGTTGTCAGAGGATCCAGTTATTGGAGGCTATGAAGGTGGGACTCCTCCAAAATCCTAATTTTTTAATTTAAATATTAAGTATTTAATTTTTCAATTTTTTTCTTCTTTTTGGATGGCTTTATTACCATTCAATTTTCATATTTCTTGATTTTTTTTTTCTTCTCCTTTAGTTTCTGGTGCCCTCTACAAGTTCAGAAATCCAAGAGGTCACGGTGGATTCCTTCACTGGGACAATATTCATTGGTGAGCTACTTTTCCCAGTGATGCCTTTCAAATCTTTTCTTAATCTTTGTATAATAGTTCTTCTGTGACTCTGCTTCAAGCTAAATCCCTCTTTCGAGGGAATCCATTTATGTTTAATCCCATTTTAATACTCTTATGTTTTTCTATAGGAGTAATATGATCCATAATAGAATCCACTGTGAATATTGCATTAAACATAGAAATGAAGTGAATCAGAAGATACCAGAAAGTATGCGGCATCTTACAGTATGTGGTGTATTGTAAGCTATGTAATTACTAATTCTATGTGCATACATATATTATGATTAAGTGGAATATTTTTTCAGGAGTCCAACATCATAAGAGGAATCGTTTAAGATACCTAAATGAAAGCAATGAAGAAAAAGAAAGAAAGATATTACTAATAGTACCTACAATGTGATGGATCGAGGTTTGAGTCGTATGAATGCAATCTTACCAAGTAGATCATGTCAAGGTAAAAACCTTTAATAAACAATTATTTTCTCTGGGTTCTTTCCTTGACCTGGGATTTTATGTATTACAATTATAGTGTATTTTTATATATCATAGATACTGAATGAAACGAATGAGGCAAGGGCCAAAAGGGTATTACTACTAGGACTTACCATAGGTGGATCGTGGTCTGAGTCTATTGATACTGAAACATGTCCTAGTATGCAATGTCGAGGTAAAACTTCTAATCCTTGACAATTTTTTATATGACTCTTTTTATATGAACTGGTACTTTGTTAATTCAGGTTATGGTAAGCTTTTCATGATCATAGATACCAAGATAAACGCCATGAAGAACAGCCAAAATAGATATTAATTCTTCTCCTTTATGTTGGTTTAATTTTTCCATTCAGATGAACAGAGGGAGGCTTTCATCTCCATCTACTCACTGAATCAAACAGTTTCCTTCGAAAGCGGGAAATGGGTATGTACAGAGAGGGCCAGTCGTCACCAGTGAATCATCTCTACAAGTCATTACCTTACCCACTGTCTGTTTGTTAGTGCTGCAAGGTGAATAAGCTGCAAAAAGTTACCTGCATACACTGATGATTATCAGTACGGGTAATTCTTGTTGAGTTGCCTTCAGCGGAGGCTTTATTAAATAAATGCGGCTTGTTTATTATTCTCATTATAAAGGAGGAAACCTGGACCCAGGCCAGAAATCGGGCTTTGGGCCCGGCAGAAGCATGGCTTTAGGTTTAATCAGGGGAGTAAGTGAGGGCCCAGGGCCCCAGCTCATGGGCCCGCTATGCCCTTCCCAAGGCTCACCTTAGTGTTCTATTTTTCAGGATTTTTAGCTGCCATGGACCAATCAAACCCCTGTGTGCAATACCAATATTCTTCTCATTCATAGTCATTCTTCACAGACCTGGTAAACAAAAAAACCGCCAGAAAAAAGTATCAAAAAGCATACTTCTGAATCGTAAATCATTTCAATAATATATGTCCAGAAGTCATTCCACCGTGTTGGCCAGGCCCTACCTGTGTTCTTAATAATTTAAATCATAATCCCAAGGAACGACTGCACCAGGCCCTAAAGCGTGGTCTGCTGCATGAATCAGATAAAAAGATGTGATTTTCTTATGTGCCACAGGGAGAAGGTTAACGTTAACCTAAATGGAAAGGTTGAACCAAGGGATCTTGGGGTACATCCGGTTTATAAAAAGTTACGAATTTGTGGCGGTTAAATGGGGTGAATTAGGTCTAGTCCTTGAAACCAACTGCCTTTTAAGTGATATCAGTTGTTTCAATACTTGTTATCACTCCAAAATACCTTCTTTTGGGATTTTACTACCAAAAACTCCTCTTTTGAAGAGAATAAGGCAAGTATGCAGTCATTAAGCAGATCAACAGGCAGTACCAGGCTGTGGGGCTGCCGCAAGCAGACTTCTTTGGACAATTTTGCGGCCTCTTCGTCCTATGTGGGTGCCTGCCTCACCGCCTAATAGGCTACAATTCTGAGCTCTGGATGTATCATACTAGGCAAAACTTAATTTCTACATTTCTTCGTTGTCTAGCTTACTTGATTCGGGCTCAACCCTTCATGCTAGTGATGAGTCGGGCCTTCCTATGTATGTACCCTTTTTGACGATTCATTGATGGTCTCATTATTATCTTACACGAACTTATTCTACACCCGATGAGTACAGCTAGAACAAACACAGCCCCATGGCAAGATATTGTAACAGTTTTATTTTCATAGATGCAATCCAATAGAATGTGGCCATGCTTGTCTGAATTGGATCACATCTACCTTACCATCTTCCGCTTGTCTGCAAATAGTTTCTTCTTCGTGACTCCAAGATGGGACCTTGATGCTACTACGTACGTGACAGGCTACTTAGAAAGGTTGCCGATAGAATTTATTTGAAGCCCTTTTGCTCTAAAAGAAATGAATGATGGATAGGTCCCTATAAATAGTTTTTCTATCGTTCGAGTACCTTGCACATGATTTTTCATCTAATATAGTTAACCAAGAATACTAAAAATAAATCTCATCCGTTTGACATGCACAGAGAAGAAAGGCAACTCAGTCTATGATTAATTTAATCGTTCAAGAAGTTATAGCGGATGGCATTGCATGACAGAAAAAATGGCATACAATTAACCATATTAGCTAGTATATCACTCTGGTTTTTTTAAGAGCATGAAAACAGGCAATTATCATACTGGACAAGGTCTGAAGTTAACTTGGTCTTGAAGAAAAACGTGAAAATGGGTTCTGTGAATCTGTATCGAACTTACATCTGGCTCAAGACTAGACAAACTAGGTACTTATTAAATCTACTCTTATTCAAACCATATTGTACACAGTCGCGCTCTCGAGTACTGTTCGTTGTGATCCAATCACAAATGATGGAATTATACCAAAAACCTTCCTTTGAATGCATACTGAGAGGGGTTGGCAATTTATACGCTTTCTCACAAACCATTACTTCAATTTTAACTGCCCGAATTTATTGCAGAACAACTCATTGTTATCCGACGGTGACGATAGCAGAAGTACCTTAGAACAGAAGAAAGTACGGACAGGATGAATCCACCTACAAGAACCCCCGAGCCCCCTCTTCAATCGTCGGCCAACTCCTGATCCCATCTGCCCGATCCACATTCCAGGCCTTCTCCTCGTGAGCACCTCGAAATGAAGCGCTTTAGCTCCCCCGGGTGTGCCGCCGCGCTAATCCTGCTGCTGCTGCTGGAGGTGGCTGCCCAGGCGCCACTGGCGGAGTCGGTGAACTGCAACCCCTTCGAGCTGATCCCGTGCTCGGGTGCCATCTTCTCGCTGGAGCCGCCGGGGAGCGACTGCTGCGCCCGGCTGAGGGAGCAGCAGCCGTGCTTCTGCCAGTACCTCAACGATCCCAGCCTGAGGAGCTACGTCGGCTCCCGGAACGGTCGCCGTGTCGCCGCCACGTGCGGCGTCCGCAGCCCCCGTTGCTGATCTGCACCCCTTCGCCGCTCTTGTTTGTGTGTCTTCATCAATAAGCGCCGGAGCACCGTTTCTGGTTGCATGTCATCCCGATGGCCTAACGTAGCTTATCGCTCCTGATGGGCAATCTGGATATGCCTCTCTCTCTCTCTCTCTCTCTCTCTCTCCCGCTCCCTCTACGTGTGTCTGTGTGTGGATGTGAAGATTGTGTGGAATAGGTACATGATTTCTTCTGAGATCATTGGAGTCGTGGCCGTTTTATGATATTTTATTAAATATTAATTAAACTTTCTGTTCCCCAAAATGAGAAATTTCCACGATTACCGCCGACTTCGGAGCTAATTTTAATTTTGCATAGAGTAATACTTTAAGGATATACAAACCGCACAACAAAGGGAATTTACCGAGTCCATATCGACGAGAAGATCTTCTCGAGTATGTTGGGGTGGCATAGTTGGGGCTCGTAACCAGGCAATGCTCAACCATCCTGTCATCTTCTCTTTTCTCTCTCCCATGAGCGCCCTTCTTCTCTGAATCTCCACTTCTCAATCCTTGTAAACTCTGGATTTCTAGATGACATTGGGCGGTGGTTTAGCAGCCTGAAAGGGTAGTCTCATGCATTTGAGAATCACAATAATTTTCATCTCGATAACACTTATCTCATTGATCAATTCTGAGCTTTGTCCTCCCAAACATTAGTAAGGATCAACCGATTCAGTCTGTCTTGCGTATTTATGGAACTTGTTGTGGGTAGGATTTTACTTCATAGCATGATTCAGGGGATGATTATCGATTCATTCATTTTAAGGGCAGAACTTGGGTGGGAGGGTGGGGGGGAATATTGATGATTACCCTTATTGATATCCCTAGTTTTATTGAACGAATAACCCATGGAAGAAAGACGATTTATGGGCATCATTCATCCCAGCTGCTGTTGAGGACCCCAGAACCTTCAGAGCTGTATAGCCATCTTTGAGCAGTAGACTTCACAAAAAAATTAATAACTGATTAAAAAACATCATTGGAAGATGTTGGATTACAAGAGTCGAAGAGAAAACGGCCATTTATCAGTGGAGCTCACTCAGTCGGTACCTAGAAACCGTAGGCTTGATTTAAATATCAGCCGGCACGATTTATCATGGGAAACCTTCAGATGATTGTGGCGGAGGATGAAGATGGAAGAGAGCGTAGACTGCGGAAATTGTGGGAAACCTCTCTCTCTCTCTCTCTCTCGCTGCGGAAATTTAGTGCAAGAACCTCCTGAAAGTGGCATTCAGGCAGAAACTATGAACGGGCAAACACTGGGGAGACCGATGAGAACAGATATGAACGTCGTAGGGACGATGCTTATTCCCATAGGGTTCTTCAACGGGTGTATCCAAACTTCCAAGAAAGTACCAGCGATGGCGAGCAGCAGCGTCGAGATCATCACGGAGATGAGGCAAGGATGGTTCTTCCAATGACGGCAACTACGTCAGGGTATGACGACGGACGAAGGGCACCTTCGCCTGGTCGCCGGGCCGAGCAGCAGCGGAGAGAGGGAAGCCAGCAAGCAGGACGGGCTTCTACGGTTTGACGTAGTTCCCCAAGTTGGGATCCCTCAGATACTGAGAAAGGCATAGCCGGCGCTTCCCCAGCGGGATGGAGCGGTCTATGGATATACGGCGGAATGGCCCTGAGGGTCAGTTATCCAGCACCAGCATCATATCCACCGTTCGCCATTCATCCACCTCCGCCGCTTCCAACATCGGCATTGACCGCTGCCATCGTCCGTCGCCGCCAGTCATCCGCCGCTGGCACCGGCCATCACTGCCGCCGCTGTCCACAACTGCCGTTATCTGCCGCCGCTGTAAAAAGATCAAAAGTTACGAATTGTCGCGGTTAAATGATGCTTTACTGTTTATGGTTTCCGTCCAGTCCCTGAAGCTAATTGCCTTGAAGTGAAGTCAGTCACTTCAATACTTGTTAACTCGCTCATTGTTATTTACTATCTAATACCTTCTTTACGGAATTGAGAATCCAAAGTCGTATTTTGAAAAATAAGAGAATAAGATGAAACTCTGGATGCTTGATTTCTATTTACAGTAATTAAAAGCAACTTAATCTAGAAAGAAGACGTGGTACATAATGTCTCTTTTGAAGAGAGTGAGGCAAGTATGCAGTCATTAAGCAGACCAAGACGCATGTACCAGGCTGTTGGGCTGCCACAAGCAGAGTTTTTTGGACAATTTTGCGGCCTCTTCATCCTCTGCGCAACTCGCCCCCGCGCCTTATATGCGACAATTTTGAGCCTGGATGTAGCATTTTAGGCTAAACTTAATTTCTACATCGCTTATTTGTCTTGCCTACTTGATACGGGCTCACCCTATCTTCCAGTATGATCTTGGTATGTTGTGCCAGCCGATCAGGATCTTGCCTGATCCAATATTTCTAGTTTATCATAAAATCCATTTGATAAAGCTTAGCTTTTTCATTTTATTCCTTTTTTAACTTGCTTTGGGCCTTCCTGTGTACACTTGTCATGACTCATCGTTGGTTTCATTATTATTCTACACCGCTTATTCTATACACCTTATAACAAACAAAACCCCATGGCAAGTTATTGTGACAATTTTATTTTTATAGATGTAATCCAAAGGAATGCCGCCGTGCTTCATTGAACTGGATCACAACTACCTTATCATCTTCCGGTTGTCTCCAGATAGTTTCTTCTTCATGACTCCAAGATGGGCTTTTGATGCTACTGTGTACGTGACAAGCTACATAGAAAGGCTGCCGACAGAATGTATTTGAAGTGCATCTGTTGTAAAATAAATAGATGATAGATACGTCCCTAAAAATATTTTTTGTATCTAAATTAAAATTTCAAAATATATAAAGCTGCTTCTATGGTTCTAATACCTTGCACCTGACTTTTCATCTCATATAGTTATCTAGGAAAACTAAAAATTAATCTTAGTCCTTTAACATGCACAGAGAAGTAAGGAAGTGATTCGTTCATTAATTGAATGTTTTTTGTGCCTATTAAAAAAGATATAGTGGATGGCATTACACGACGGAAGATGGAAAAAACCTAGTCATAAAATCTCATGTAATGAATCATATTAGCAAGTGAATGACCTTGTTTTTTTCTGAAGCGCGAAATTAGCCACATATCGTACTGAACAAGGTCTGGGTTTACTTGGTCTTGAAGAAAATCATACAAATGACTTCCGTGGATCAGGGTCAAACTTAAAATCAGGCAGAAGCTTAGATAAAGAATGTACTTAATTAACCCTAATTTTATTAAGAAAAAAATGTACACCAGTATAATTGCTTTCATTCAATCATAAATTGTAGAATTGTATCAAAACATTGCATCATGACATGGGTTGGCACAGTTTATATACTTTTCTCCGAACATTGCTTAATTATTAACAGGTCAAATTTTTTGCGGAACAACTCATCGGATGTGACGGTAGCAGTCAGGCCGAAGTATCTTAACACGGACTGAAGTACGGACAGGATGAATCCGCCTACAAGAACCCCCAACACCTCTTCAATCTTCGGCAGACTCCTCTTCCCATCTGCCTAATCCATCTTTCTGGCCTTCTTCTTGTGAGTACCTCCAAATGAAGGCCTTTTTCTCATCCGGCGGTGCCGCTGCAGTAATGCTGCTGTTCCTACTGCTGGCTGTCCGGGCGCCACCGGCGGAGTCGGTGAGGTGCCACCCCTTGCACCTGCTCCCGTGCTTCGGTGCCATCTTCTATTCGCGGCCGCCGTCGAGCAAGTGCTGTGCCCAGCTGAGGGAGCAGCAACCGTGCTTCTGCCAGTACAAGAGGGATCCCATCCTAATGAGTTACGCCAACTCCCGGAACGGTCGCCGGGTCGCCAGCACGTGCGGCGTCCACAACACCCGTTGCTGATCTGCGGTCTGCCGACGCCCTTGTCTGTGTGTCTTCACCAGTGAAACTCTGGAGCACTGTGTCTGCTGATGATTATCCCGATGGCGCAATGTAGCTTGTTGTTACTACAGGGCAGTCTTGATATGCCTATCTCTCTCTCTCTCTCTCTCTCTCTCTCTCTCTCTCGCTCGCTCGTTCGCTCGTCAGTCAGTGTGTGTATGTGTGTGAAGATTGTGTGGAATATACACGTGATTTCTTTTGAGGTCATTGGAGTCATGGTCGGACTGGAATGGGTGCCATTTTATCATACTTTATTCTATTTTATTCATACTCGTCAGACTTTCTGTTCCCGAAAATGAGAGATTTCCACGGTCACCGCTGACTCGGGGCATAATATTCGTTTTTCATCGAATAATATTTTATGGAAATTCAGGACGAAGAGAAATGAGAATACATCGTCCATGGACGAGAAGATTTCTCAAGTATGTCGGGGTCGCATATTTGGGGCTTGTAACCAGGCATTGCTCAGCCATCCTCTCATGGTCTTCTCTTTTTTCTTTCCCATGAGCGCCCTTCTCTGGATCTCCACGTAAACTCTTGAGACTATGGGCTCATTATTGGCCTCTACTATGCACTGGGAAGTGGTTTAGCAAGCTAGAAAGGGTGGGGCATTATGGAGATCTAGATAATCAGATTCATCAGAGAATGATAATAATATTTCATCTCGATAATGGTGAAATAAGTCATCAATTTTGAGGTTCTTACACACACCGATCAGCAAGGATGAACTAACCCAATCTATCATGCATATTTATAAAACTTGTTTGTGGTGGGCAGGCTATTACTCCATAACATGATGCAAGGGCTGATTAACGATTGATTCATTTGACGGTAGAACTTGAGGAGAAAATATATTAATAGATTAGCATTGTTGATATCCCTTGTTTCATTGAACAATACTAAAGGAGGAAAGACGAGTTAGGGGCATCTGCATCCCTTTTGTTGTTGAGCACCCAGAAACTTGAAAGCTATATAGCCAGTTTTTAGAAGTAAACTTCACAAAATAATTAACGTGCTGATTAATGGAGCTTAATGAAATGCCTTTTAATCATGAAACTTCATTTAAATCTCAGCCAACCTGATTTATTATTGGAATCCTTCAGGCGATTGTGGTGGAGGATGAAGATAAAAGAGAGCGTAGATTGAAAGATCTTCCCTACATCTATGCCGCAATGTTCATCTTCATCAGCTTGCTTCTCCCCAATCCCTACACACATCCCCCTAGGTCTTCTCTTGCAGGTTAGACGGGAGTATTGCTGCTGGTGCCTTCTTAGTGAGAGCAGCTGCGGAGCTGGCACCATCTGACGACTGATGCCATTAAAGTGAGGTAGCAGCCACCGTGCTTCTGCAAGTATGTGATGGAACCAACTAACATGAACTACATTAGGTTTTCAGATGTTGGCTTGGTCAAAACAGAGTGTATTTCCAGCTAGTTATTTGAGCATGATTATTGAAGACAAAAAATTATCTTGTCACAGTTTGAATAACATATCTAAGTATTTGAAGATTTCTTATGGAAGTGGATCATCCAATTAATCAAGCCTCAGCTATACAGAACTTGATGTAATATGGTGGTAAGCAACAAAGAGAAAAAATAAAATAGGAAGAAGGATATTATTTTAACAAATAATATAAAATAACTGATTTATAGTCAACAATATTCGTACATTCTCTCTTAAGCTGTGAGTGAAATTAATAGATGTCTCTAAAATGTTGACCTGTTGTTTGACTATTTTCTATTGTTGTTAAGAAACTTCAACAAATTTAAAATTTATACATTCTAGAAAGTATGCCGATTTTAGAAATACCTAATTTTATATAGGTTTCCACATTGATTATAGGGAAGAGAAAAAATTAATTAATTATATTTATGATTTTTAATTAAAAGATTAATTTTTGGAATTCTTAAACTATGAAAATTAAGCAAATTAAGTAAAAAATATTAATTCGGGGTTAACAATGTTAGATGGGGTCACTCACAAAAAACACCCCCAAATTTAAAGTCAACATAAGTATGTTGACTTAAATTTCTCAAAATCATAACCCAAATATTTCAAATTAAATTTAGATTTGAAAAGAGTAATTATTCATATAACAATGTAGGATTGAAAATAGCTTTTTATAAATTGAAAAATAGTAGAAATCCTGAAATTTTAAAGTTTACTGAAGATGGATGACATAGTTGATAATTATCTGAATTATATTATTAAGATGTAAATTTTTGTTTGTGTTTACATTTTATTTTCTCATGAAAATACACATTGATATAATTTTCAGAAAAAACAAAGTTTTATGTATTTAAATTGATTCATTGATATTTCTTTGAAAAAAAGTTAAACATAATAAATGTTTATTTTCATGAGTTATCAGCTTAATGATATTTTTGATGCATTAACTCATGTTAAATAAATTTTTTTAATCTTAAATTGAGAAAATAAATTATAAATTTTATGTTCATTTTTCGAAGTTAAAATGGTTTTTACAACTGAAAAAGGGGGATCTACTGGCCAACTAGCACTATGCAGTTAACCCTCTAAAGGGAGGGGATTACTTGAGTGGGTAACTTAGTCAAGAGGAACCATGAGCTGATAGCTTAAGTTGAACACCCATCATAGATAGTGTGTCACAACCCTTCCATGTCAATAGCAAGAGCTGGTGCCTAGGCCAAGGTATGGTTTCATCACATATGTCACATGGGGTTAGACCACCTTTATCTCTCCCCTCAATTGGTCTTGAGCATTTGTTTAAGGGGGTGGGAGCTCAATATGTATAAAGCACTTTCAACATGTATACCCACAAAAATTTCGGAAACAACTAATGTGGGACTACAACTTCGCAAGCACTAGTCTAAACTATTAATTTTTGACCTAGTGGAAAACATATAGAAGATGCAGTAAATGTTTGGAAAATCCCTATAAATAAATAAAAAGCCCAAAAAACCCTAGAAATGATAGAAAATGATCAGAAAATCAGAAAAAAATACAAAATAATCAGAACTAAATGAATGTTGAAATAAAAATCATGATTTTTTGTGAATATTTATCTAATTAATCTAAAATTTCAAATGAAGCTCTATTACTTATTGATAAATGAGTGTATATACTAAAAATGTAACTTTTGACAAGAATTGGAGTGGAAAATGGAAAAGAAAGAAAAATGGTTGAATTACAACAAAAATGAAAAATTTTTGGATTTAAGAAAGGAGAAGAAAGGCTCCTCACTCCTCTAAGGGATCTCATGAATACTTGACTGGAGGGCAGGATGCTAGAAGGTAGGAAATGAGGCTAGAAGTAAGGGAGAAGGGAGGAGGATATCGAAAAAAACTAGTTGTGAATCAACAAAGTTCTTTATATTTTTAGATTTATTACTGTCTTAGTTCATTTATTTATGTTCTTTGGGTGACATACATTGATCAGAAAAACCTTATTTTTTTATTTTTTTTATTTTTTGTCTTTTTCATTTTCTTCAGTGATAAACAAGGAAAGAAGAGAGCATTAATATTTGTTCTTAGTATTCATAATTATGAATTTAGTTAAAATTTTAATTATAATTACTTGCAATCTCGTTTCTTGTCCTTGGGTGACAAGAATGAAGTAATTTTTTATTTATTTGATGTTATAAGGTTTAATTTATATTTTATATTTTAAATAAAAAATTTATTAGTTTTGTAGAACTTTTTTGTGTCAATAGAATCTAATTTTAGATTTATAATTTTCTTTGGTCACGAATTTAATTATTTTAGTTTATCCTTGGTTGACAACTAAGGATATTTCTATTGTGTGATCATTTTAATTTTATTGTAGATGTTAATTTTAAATATTGCGAAGTAATCTCAAGATCAATAGAAGTCATTCTACTTACAATCTCCCTTCTCACCTTCCACTCCCAAATTTCTCAACTATTTTCTTCTAATTGTGATTTAATCGTTTCATTATCAAAACCCTCTTTCTTATTATCTAGAGGTAACAAGATAATTAAATATATGAGATTAATTAGAGAAAGAGAATGATAAGTATTGAATAGAAGATTTTATTACTTTTCTCATTCCATTTCATTTTGTTCTTTCTTTTGAGTTAGTTTTTACATTAATAATAATAATAAATAATTAAAACTATTTTTCACCCTAAACTTGTACTAACACTAGAATTTATTTTGAATATTCAGTTATAAATACTTTTAATTTTTCACACATTAAGACAAAAAAAATACATGATCAGTAGTTGTTGATTGTATTTTCACCCAAAGTCAATCTATTTGTGTAGGTGTGATAAACTTATTAGATTCTTAGGCCTTTTCTAATCATTGATTGACAAATCCAATAATTGTCACTTGTTGAAATCAAATGATGATGGTGACATGACTTCGAGCACATTGTAGTAACTAAAGAAGGATCTTTGGAAGAAATTCTTCACTTTTTGTATCAAGTGAAGAATGGGATGAATTTGTGGATGAAATTTAGCTTTTGTAATTGTTGAATCAAGAAGTAAACAGGATAAAATCAAACATTTGTATCATATTTGATGAATTGAGCGAATTCAATGTTTGCAGTAGCTGGAAGAGACATAAGTTATTTTTGGAGCATGATAGATTGATCGGTGATGCTCCTTTCTTCTTTTGAAGCCATTTTTAGCCTTCCTATGCATGAATTTTGTTGATTACATCAAATTATCCATCACATTTCTCGCCATAGTCGGCACATCAATTGCTATTGTAAAAACTTGAAAATGGTTTGATTTTAGTACAATATTGGAAGTTTAGAAAACATGTATATGTATATTAAAAATATGATAATAAGCCTGATGAATTCCTCCACCAAAAATAATTGAAAGCTGGGCCATGGTGGAGGCTATACATTGATCACGTGGTCCACATAAATATCTATTTCTATTATTTTTTATTATTATAATGAGCTCATTAGAAATTCAAGAAAAAGTGAAATTAATGCAGCAACATTCTAAAAA